CCCCTTCCAAACTCATTTGTCTGCAAGTAAGCCCTTTCCTCGGAGAGGAAAAAAGGCTCACTCCAAGAACTGACGTGGGGAGTGGGCAAAAATGGGTGGAGGAAACACGGTCTTCCCTCACGGTTCCAAAGGGGAACTGTGCAGCAAGGCTGCAGAGCTGCGAGGGACGGGCCTGGAGCCCTGGGAAAAGGCACATCTGAAAAGGTAGTCTCTGGGGACACCTGGCCAAGAAAAGGATGAAGTTATCACAGCCAGTTCAAACACCAAGGCAGTAAGACCAGCAGAGGACCTGGAAGAGCCACAATCCCTTGTGGGAGTCTGTGCTTTGAGTGGGCCTGGGAGAAGGTGGCACAGGGACAGTCTCTGACCTTCACCGGGAAGCACCGAGGGCTCAGGACGCCTTGTCCCCAGGAGGCCCCTGGGAAGTGAGGGCTCCACACTGTCAACACTCCAGGTACCCGAGACTTGCAGCCCAGCTGGGAACTTTGCAGAGGAAGGCGGAGGGGGCATACGAGCAGCACGGGGCATGGTGAAGGGGGCTGGGCAGGAAGGAACACAGCAACAGGCTAACTGGGGAGACTGACCTTTTTCCCAATCTGGTCTAAGTTCAGCCCTAAAAGGTTCCCAACAGGGACTCTCCTTTCTTGCTCTCTTGAGCCCCCACTGGGTGACAGCTGGGCACTGCGGCCTACTTACCAAGGACTGTGTCTTGGGTTGTAAGTAAACTCATGCTCAAATTTTTTCCAGCCCATTCAAGTCCTATAACTGATTCCTTAGAGAGTCTACAGCCTGAGCTCTCTGGAAGCTGTTTTGAGAAGCGTTCTCTCCCAGGAAGTGGTTTCTGCGTTCTTACCTCAGGAACCCCTTTGAACACGGCTCTGACGGCCAACCCCGGGAAAGCTAGTGTCAGAATTCAGGACACCCATGCTCACCGCAAACACTTTTTACCAGGAGCTTCACCATCTCACAAGTGCCTAATGAGTCTTGGACTTCAGAGCAGGTTAAAAGCTTATTAATCTAGTGACTGTGTCATTGATATAATTCGTTCCACCATGTGTGGTTTTAAGAAAGAACATACAAATATTCACAGTGGCTCTGTCCAATTGTGCCTCCCACGTGTACTCGTAACTCTGGAGGAGGAGGCAGGAATTCCAGGTACTGCCGACAGCTTCCTGGCAAGATGCCATCTACTGTTAATGGAAAAAGACAAACTGCAAGAAACCAAAGACTAAATGATGTCCTGCTTCCCCGCTATCTCCTCTGCCCCTACGGGATGGGTTAAGCACATCAAGAGGAAGCTCAGTACTAAAGAAAAAGGGAAAATTCTCCAGGAGTCTGACATGATCTGAGCAGAATGAAATGGCATGAGGGAAAATGCCACCAGGTTTGCACAGGGCAGTGACACATGGTCGGGAATTTTTTTTTTTTTTTTTTTTTTGAGATGGAGTGTCGCTGTTGCCCAGGCTGGAGTGCAGTGGCGAGATCTCGGCTCACTGCAAGCTCTGCCTCAGCCTCCCGAGTAGCTGGGACTACAGGCGCCCGCCACCACGCCTGGCTAATTTTTTGTATTTTCAGTAGAGACAGGGTTTCACCGTATTAGCCAGGATGGTCAATGGTCTTGATCTCTTGATGGTCAGGATTTTGACAGCACCTTTCTGAGAAGCAACTTGGGGATTCATTATTGAATCTCATGAACTCTCACACAAGTTGAGGGCCAGGCATACAAGGATGCCTTTTGAGGAATAGACTAACATGGATTATACAAATGTTACATAAAATCAGTAATTCTCAAGTTTAATAAAAGAACAAAACAGCAGACGGATAAGAATAAATGTGCATTCTTTTAGTAGGCTTAAGCCATGTGTTTTGGGCAGACTTTAACTTTTTTCTTTTTTTTTTGAAACAGAGTCTCGCTCTGTCACCCAGGCTGGAGTGCAATGGCATGATCTCGGCTCACTGCAACCTCTGCCTCCCGGGTTCAAGTGATTCTCCTGCCTCAGCCTCCTGAGTAGCTGGGATTACAGGTATGCGCTACCACATCTGGCTAATATAGAGATATTTTTTGTATTTTTAGTAGAGATGGGGTTTCACCATGTTGGTCAGGCTGGTCTCGAATGCCTGACCTCAGTGATCCACCCACCTCAGCCTCCCAAAGTGCTGGGATTACAGGCGTGAGCCACCATTTCCTGCCAGACTTTAATGTTTTTAAAAGGGTGGAGCTTTTAGGGAGATGAAGGAAATGAACGCACTATAAATCTGCAGGCATTTAAACCCCTCTGAAACAATTAAGTTGGTGCATTCACAAAGAAGTTTTAAATCAAACAACCCATAATACTTGATGTAGAAAATGTTCCAGCTTCCATAATTCTTTATTAAATATTTGACAAGTTGCATCGCTTCTTTACAATGACTTCATTTTGTCACATTAGTCTTTTGCTGTCAGGAAAACAATCTACAGTGTCTCTTTAGATCTCTCAAGAAAAAAGAAAAGCGAAAAGGATTTGTTCTTCAAGAAAACTTTTTCTATGTGTATCAAATTCAACCATAGTTTAAAGCTATTCTGATTGTGAAAATGAGCATTATTCATAAGTTGTCTTAAAAAAAATTCAAGGTAGTTTGGTTTTTACCACTGTATCAAATAGTACTTGGCTTCCTATTAGGTGGTGGGTTTATAATAAAAAGTTATGAAACATTGAGAATTTATGTGGAATGCTTGAAACTTTTCACCTTAAAAGTCACTGCTTTTTTCATGTTTCATTTGATGATAGATCCTGAATTAAGAAATGACAGCAAATTCACATCATCTTCCTACGGTTTTCTCAGGCTCCAAGGGTCGAAATTCGGAGGACACAGCTTGGAGAAAACTGTAGAAGGGACTAAGCTCTCACCCCCTTTCGAAACCAGATTACTCAATAAAGGTGTAAAAATGCTATACAAATATATACAAATATATTTGGACAGCATATGTACGTATATATGTATATATATTACATACATAGTAGTAAAGGAAGAACAAAGTCACGCAAAGTTAACATGAAGGAAACCGTGACAATCTAGGTGAAATTAGTCTGAGTGGAAGGGGAAAACTGGCTTACATAGGAACACAGATACCTGCAGACAAGGAGTTATACAGAGGTACGGTCACGAGGAAGGCTTCTGATGCACCGGTACGGGGTTGAGAATGCAGTGCACGCAAGGTTAGGTGCCAACAGCAATGCTACTCCTTACACACAGAAAGCCAACGAACAGAAAGACATGCCTTTGAAACATGTGTTGCTTTGAGTGGAACATCTTTAACAAACGACGGATGTTTAATGAGAGGTTTGCTTGGAAAATTTCATGCCAACAGGAAGCTACCCCTTTTCTAGAAGACATTCTCCAAGCTCCTGTCTGAATGCTACAGCATTTTCTCTGACATACTGAGAACACTCTGGGGTGGGGGTGTGCGTATGCAAATGTATAGACACTGTTCATTAAGGCTTATATAAATTAAAAAAGTGGTCCAAAGAATATCACATTTTTTCCCCAGTTTTAAAATCTAAAGTACAAAGTGGAGTTTATAAGGATTTGTTTTTTAAAAACACATCTGAGTCCTGAAATTGGCAGTTCTGACATGACTTATCAGGATGTACCCCAATGCCTGAATGACAGAGGTAGCGTGTGATCTTCGGGCTTGGGGAAGGTCAGGAAGGGAGCAGGCCAGGCAGTTACCCTGCACAGCGGCACCCCCTACTGGCAAGGCAGAAAATGATACCAGACAGCACCTCCCACCTCTCCCTGTAAGTACAGGGGTGCAGGGGCAGGGTAAGGAGGAGAGAGAAGAGGAGAATTAGCACAGTAGGTAGGGGCTGCAGAACTGATGAACCCAGGCTCTCTTTATACGTTTTTAAATTTCAGAGGTGAGTACAAGACTCTTAGAAATACAGGAGTCGACTGTTAATGGGTAACTGTTAGAACGATTAAAAAGTTGCTGCGTATGAACCTGGCTTTCGAGAGGGCCACTGTGGCTCTGGCAAGTTAGCAGCGGTGCACACTGTCTATGCAACAATGGAGATGTAGAAAATGGTTCAAATGTTTTGCACGCTGTTTCTCAGAATCACTGTGAGGCCAGGTGCGGTGGCTCATGCTGTAATCCCAGCACTTTGGAAGGCTGAGGTAAGAGGATCACCTGAGGTCAGGAGTTCAAGACCAGCCTGGCCAGCATGGTGAACCCGTCTCTACTAAAAATACAAACATTAGCCAGGCCTGGTGGTGGGTGCCTGTAATCCCAGCTATTCGGCGAGGCTGAGGCAGAAGAACCGCTTGAAGCTGGGAGGCAGAAGTTAGAGTGAGCTGAGATCGAGCCACTGAACTCCAGCCTGAGCTACAGAGCGAGACTCTGTCTCAAAAATGTTAATAAGAATCTGTCCCTTTGTCCTTACATGGGAGAAATAATACACGCCAAGTCGCTCTGTATCCCTCATTGTCTGAATTTAGGGAATAGCTGATGTCACCTGCTGAAGGGTCCTGGAAACAAAAGTCAAGTGTCTTACCTTTGTTCTTGTGATTTGTTAGAGGACTGGCTACAGAGAAGCATAAACATTTCAGGCAAAAAGGAAAAGAGCACTGAAGCTGGGAGTACACTGTAACACAGAAAATGAAGGCCTCATGGCTGCTGGCTCCGGGACCAGCGGCGGAGAGGCACAGGCTGTTGGACCTTCATCCCACCAGGCGCTCTTTCCACGTCCTTCCTCGGGCCAACAAGGGGCAGGAATGGAAATAGCCGGGACACACAGGCAGCCGTGATAACTGATGTTAAGAAACCTGCAACAGGCAGTGCGTGAACTCTGGCACGTACTTCTCGGCCTCATGTAAGTGGCCCATAATTACTACAGCTTCAGCAGACAACTCAAGAAACTGCATTAAGGTGATTTCTCTGGCTATAAAGAGAGTCCGGCCTGCAGAGCAGTGTGGCTGCTGCGACCTCTGCGATAGGCAACACTGCCCTCTCTGCCCCAGGGCTACTCACAGGGCAGGTTGGGGCCCAAGGAATGGCCCAGCAACCACTCCTCACCCAGCACAGAGCACAGGGCAGGTCGGGGCCCAAGGAATGGCCCAAGGAATGGCCCAGCAAACTCACTCCCTCACCCAGCACAGGAGCACAGGCAGGTCGGGCCCAAGGAATGGCCCAGCAACTGCTCCTCACCCAGCACAGAGCACAGGGCAGGTCGGGGCCCAAGGAATGGCCCAGCAACTGCTCCTCACCCAGCACAGAGCACACTGTCTTTCCTGCCACCTGCAATTATGCTGTGAAGATGACGGGGTGTGGTCATCATGATTCAGAAGAATCAAGATCTATGACCATTTTAGGCAAAGAGAGAAACTTCGGGAATTGCTGAGGACAAGTGAACCTTGTTTTGCTTTTTTTAAAAAAATACTAAAACCCCACTTCAGCAATATTTAGTTGTCATTTAAATCAAGCTGGTATTATTAAGGGGTTGATGAACTGAGGTGTCACTCACAATTACTGCCTTCCAAGAATTCATGGGGTGGATTTCAGTAATTCTTGTTTGCTTCTGGCTTAGAAATTGTCAGAATGATTTTTCTTTTATACTTTCCAATACTTGACTTAATATGCATTTAGTGACTATTCTTTTTTTTTCAATACAGTTTACAAGACGACAGAAGTATACCAGTTCTTAGGCTAGAACTGGATTTCTCCCTCTACAATTACACGATTACTCTCAAAAACCAAGAAAGCGTACTGCTCAACTCAGGCTCTGGCATGATTCTTAAAAAGAAAACTGACTCTAGACTACAGGGGCTTACAAAAAGGGGATTTTTTAACCACTGAGACATTTGTTATGTTAACTGTAGGGGAAACGTCTCACCAACAGTCAAAACCAATGAGCAGGATTTTTTTTTTAAGTTACATAGCATCTAAGTTTTCTGATCACTACCGGGTACTTTTCAACCAATAAGAAAAAGGAACCAACACTCAGCTCTGTAGAAATCTACCTTCTTTTAGAAACCTCAGGCCTCTGCACCTTTAGACAACTCATTTACGACGACAACCTTCCATGGCTTCTCACATGCCACCCAGGGCACGGTAAAAATGGCAATTTCTTACACCGAAAGGTCCTTTTTATGTAACAGACAGACATCCCCAAACCACAACTCTTTTGTCCTATTGATGACTGGCATGAGATCAAATCTCTAGCGTCCCCTAACTGCCCCGACAGGGTCTAGGACAACACAGTTGTTAAAAAGGACAGTCGGGTCGTTCAACTCCCACACTGCCTCAGGTGTTTTCTCAAAGCACGACAATTCTGCAATGGAGACTTACACGTGGAAAAGATTCAAACTATGCAGGTACCCTCAGTCCTCTGCCACTACCAGCTCAACAGCTTGAGCTCAGAGGATCAAGTCAAGTCTCTGTCTCACTTTTAATCTAGCACACAACAGACACAACTCAGTCAGTACACGGTATCGAAGCATGCAACAGGCCATTGGTAACAAAACTCAGTTAGAATAAGTGTACATTAAGTAAATCTTTGTAGTTGAGTAGAAATCACAAAACAGTTGGTGAGGACAGGTCTGTAGGCTCAGCTTTACATCCAGGTTTTTATACACCAGCAGCCAGATTCACAATGGATAGATATTGCACCAGAAAGATGTGTGCAGGGAAAAGAAATCATCATCACATTTAATGTTCATGATAAAAAAATAAAAACAAAACCAGACATGACCTCCATGTAGTACATAAAGTGCCTTCAGAATTGGTGCATTTACAACAAAAACTGGTTATTTAGCTACCATTAGCAAACGCATACAAACAGGAGACTAAACAGATCTGGTTTCCACAGTTTTGAATCAAGCAGTGCCAAGTTTCATTCAAAGTGTCTCTACTACAAACAGCAAAGAGGAAATAGAATAAAAGATGACTGTACAGCGCCAGGAAAGGCTAAATAATTTCTCTGATGAGAAATGGGAGTCCAACCCTGTCTCAAATGTGTTACAGCACATGTAATTACTTCTAAGGAATAATGGTGTGATTCCTTTCAAGTCAACACAAAATTTGTCATGCTATGTTACAATTCTCTCAGCCTGTAGCTATTAGCTAAATTTGTACAAAAAAAACCCCAAAACAAAAATGTAATATCCAGTTTTTCATTCTGAGTATGGAAAAAATTATTATGTCTAATATTATACTGGAAATTCTCTCAAAGTACTTGTCTGTAGAAGGTTTTTGGACAAACACTTGCCTTCCAATTCTAAGTAGAGGGTGGAGGTGTCAGAGACTTAAAAAATAAAAATGTCATTGACATTAAGCCTGGTATGAAAGTGAAATACAAAAAAAAAAAAAAAAAAAAGCTCACTTTTCCAAGTACATGAGACATCTTTAATCATAACGAAATAAAATCTGAAAATCGGTCTAAATCATTTTAAAAAGTAAACATGAGTTGTAATACTATACCTGTAGAGTGATTAATTCCATTCATTGTCATTAGAAAGGATGTAAAATATTTATTAAGGGCTTTGCCTGCAGAGGCACAACATAAATAGCATAAGTCCTCCTGAAATGTAATTAGTGTACACATCAACCAGTTGATAATTTGTGGTGGGAAATGCAGAAACTCAAGCTGGGACCAGGTTCCCACATCCGAACTTGGACGAGTGCATGGCGAAGGCTTGGCTCCAGGGACCATGCCTGCAGCTGCTCTCTGCCATCGCCTCTGCAAAAGTCTGTTAGGCAAATGCAAAAGTGCAAGCAGAACTTGCTTGAAGAACAACCACCCCCGAGGCAGAGGGTGCTTAATCCACCCCTTCAAATCCTTGAGCATTTTCCACGGCCATGAGAAGTTTCTCTCGTAAATCTTCAAAGGTTTCATATGGAGGTAAGTCAAGGCGATTAAAGCTGCAAAAGGAACAAAAAGTATAGGTGAAAAACCACAACAGCACTTCCTAGATCTGGTTAATAGGGCATGGTGTTTGAGTAAGAGAATAAAAAAGGCTTAACCAACAATTTTGATTACCTGGAAAAAAAAAAAAAAACAACCCAAAAACCTCTAGCTATGAAACATCGACACTAAGTAAGCTCTTGTAATTTACAGAGAAAGAACATTTTGAATGGTCCATGAAACCTTTGCTGTAGTCAGATGCAGATCTTGGAACAATCCTGGTGGGAAGGGAAACATGAAAAGCAAAGTAACTGGCAACACTTCCAAACCCTTGGACCACAGAGTTGATGCTTTTGGAGTTACCCACGAATTAAGACTGTGTCTGTCTCTAACACTATTACTTATTCCACACTAGGCCTCAAGCCAAGTGCTTTTCTATTAACTCACTTCATTTTCATCACAACCCTATGAAGCAGGTCATGTTATCTCCACTCTGCACAGGAGCTCCTGGAGCAGAGACAAGGTTCCTGAGGTCACAGTCCTTGTCATACGGCAGACCCACAAATAGAACCCAGGCTGTCTGGGGCTCCAAAACACCAGTGCTAAGCTACCTCCTCTCATCAAAGTCAGGCAAAATTGACATTTGCTATGCAAAGTTGCAGTTAGAAAAAGTCCCTACATATCTGGAGGCTTCAGATGGGGGCGGCGACTGCAAATCGCCCTGGCAATAGTGAGGGTTTTCAGACAAAAGGATGACCTCTGTGCTTCTGTGACATGGGGAAACTGCCTACAGGGGTGCCAAGTGGATCGGATCAGTGGGCCTGGCATACAGCAAATGCTCAATTACTCAAGAGATGGTATCAGTGTGAACACCTTTCAACATTTACTGAATGTCTACATGGGGCTCAAGACCAGAGCCTCTAGCCACAGAACCTGCACCTCTGTGTGTGTGTGTGTGTGTATGTGTTGGGGTGTGGTTGCTGATGTGTATCTGTCATGAAAATGGCACACACACTTGCCACAGCTCATTATGACATAAGAGCTCAAGTTCACGGAGTGCTCACCATGCCCCACCAGCCTTGTCTCAATGTTATGAACCCTGGCAATCACCTTGTAAGGCAGGTAATGCTTCATCCCTATTTCACAGAGGGGAAGCTTGAGACACAGTGAGGTTAGGTAACTTGCCCAAGGTCACACGGGGCCAGGTACAGCCCCGGGGTGCTCCAAAGCCCAGCTCTTGAAGTGCACTTGTGCTGTCTCTGCCGTGAGTGCTCACACTGTCTGTGTTTAAAACCGCCCCCTCCAGGTATTGATGTGTGATTCCAAGAATGAGCAAAGTAACCTCCTAGGTTTTAAAAGCTAACCATTCACATGCTCGCTTCAGCAGCACTTGCACATACACTAAAAGCTAACCATTGTCACAGCCACAGAAAAGAAACAAATACTGTAGAGGGCCCTTTAACAACCCCTAAATGTTGAGTAAGTCCCACTGAGTTCCACTTGGATTCTCCAACAGCCCCTAAACACTAAAAGACAAGAGAATAACACTGTGCTTCTCAAACTGGGGTTCTCAGAAACCCAGGAATCCTAAAAGAGTAAGTACTAATAGAGGCTTTTCACTTTCTGTTATCATATTGATAAAGACAGGACTTCACGTCTACAGATGGCATTTAAAAGAGGCTTTCACGGAAAGTGGCTTCAGGCTTTTCAGCTGGGGTTTCACAGTCCTGGGCCTGCAATCCCTATCAGGGTCTCAGACCCATTCTTGAGATCTGTGACCATTTTTTCCCTTTAAAAAAGGTCCATAGATTATTCAGGTTTGAGAAACACTGGAATGATGAAGAGAGAGGCAAAGACGGGAGGTCAAGATCTGAGGTTCTGAATCATGCTGCTTAATGCTTCATCACTTTGCATCTCCGTGTTATCTGTAAAAAAGTGGGTCACAACATCACGCACCTCTTAGGACCACTGTGATGATGGTATGAGTCAATCACATCACATGCTTAGCACCATCCCCAGAATGAACTGAGTGCTTGGTAAGTGTGAGTTCCTATCATTTCAGAGGTCAGGACACACGGACCTGGCTTTGGTCTGCACTTATGAGCTGGATGACCTTAAGGAGCTCACTGTCCTCAGAGGGCTTCAGTGTCCTCGTGTGGAAGATGCACGGGCTGAATGAGATGATTTTTGTTTGGAGTCTTCCTAAAAGGGCAGGTGAGCCTGTGATTCTTAATGAAGAGTAATTTTAAATGTCTGAGTAGTGAACTTTTACAGAACAATGAAATGACGTCCTTTGAATGTCAGACACTCAATGGTCACCATTGGAAAGCTTAATGAAAGGCACCCTCATCACAGAGAACCAGATCCTTCAGCTTCTGCTCTTCTAGGAAATCAGATTTTTATTTTGAACTTTAATTGTGTATCATAAAAATCAAACCTATGTATGGAGAAATTTTAGGGCCGAACTGTTGCCACGAAACAGCCAGTGAAGTTCCTGTTTCCTATGTCAAAATACAGGCAGGGTCAGGTAGGGAGGAAAGCCCTTTCGAAGAAACAGCAGAACAGTCCCACTCATGCTAGCCAGTGTTGCTTGCAACTGCCAGTCCGGGTCAAGTTAGTCTGGAGAGAACATCATTGGGAAAACTACATAGTTGCTTTATTTCCATGACACATAAAGAGGAAGATAAGTTCTGGTAAGAGCCAGCTGGGCTGTTCCCCTCCTGTAGGTAGATCTTTGCCCTTCCAAGGGAAGAGCTGTGAATTTTCAACCCTGCCAGCCTATAAGAATCATCTGGGGAGCTTTGAAAATCCCACTGCCCGGGTCACACACCAGACCAACGAAGCCATCAGTGATTTCTTTAAAGTTCTCTAGATGGTTCCAACATGCAGCTGTGGTTGAGAACCATTGAGTTTAGAGGTCTTATCTGGGAAGTTCTACTTGTGGCAGAATCATGTGGGCTCCGAAATAAAAAAAAAACAGCTCAACAGTAAGATATGTGTCCCTGAAGTCATGGAGAAACATGGGTTGAATGAACACGAAATTGGCTCACTAATTTGGTTTCCTTGGAAAAGTCTAAAAAGAAAGTGGCTATATCAACAGAGGCAGTGTATCTGGTGTAGTGGTTAAGGGTGCAGGCTCTAATTCTGGTAGACCTGAGTTCAAATCCTGTGATCTGGGAATCTGTGACTCAGGTAAGCCCTGGGCCAGCCTTCTGACAGCCCAAGGGAATAACGTATCTCATAAGGCTGCCATAAAGATTAAGCAGTGCCTGACCACAGATGATGACTGTGCCCAATAATTTCGCTTTTCCTAATCTTCATCCTGGTTAGTACTATTAGCCTGAGTTCCGCATCACCACCCACAGTCCTGGGGCTTGGCTCAACGCCAGTGCCTTTCATATGGAGGCCAGCAGAATCCAGAAAACCACATATGACTCAGACACTGTTTGGATAAAAGATCTGAACTACTCAAGCATTCTTCCCTTAGAATAAAGCCAGAGAACCATGGACAATGACTGCTCTGGATATTCATCAATTTTAGGCTGGAATCAGCTTGCTTTCAAGGCTCTGACAGGCAATGACCACATTCTTTCCATTTGGAGACTCACGTGAATGGTATGAATGGAAAAAAAACCCCACTTTTCTGGAGAGGCAAGGGTATCCGACAGAGGTAAAAAACCTTTCACAGTCGAAAATGTGTTTTCGCAAACATATTTGCATGAGAATTCTCTCCTGGCCAGCACTGGTAGTTTAAGGGAGGGCGTTTCCTGCAGGGAGTGTGCGGTTGCTTGTGTTAGCTCAGTACGGCCAGAGCAGGATTTGCAGACCCTGTTGCATGAGAAACACAGGGCTACGCTGCTCACCGTTTTCCAGAAGGCCCACTTCCGCTGCTTCCCCAGGAGCAAGAAATGAAGGCTTTATGCAGAAAAACCAACATGAAGGACATGGGAGTATGAGTTAGCAAGAGCTCCCTGAACCCGGCTTCAAGAAATCGATCCTGTCCAGTCTGCATTTGTGCTGGGTTTCACGCAACTCTTCAGAAAACAACCGGACCCTTCTGCCTCACTGTGTCTCCTGAGAGGGGCTTCTGAGGGCAGCCACGCTCCACACCGGGCATCCCCGGCCACGTGTCAGCCCTCTTACTCTCCTCCAACCACAGTCACATTACTGCTCAATTTCAGGGAATTACGGGTTATTCATGGGCATAGAAGGCCTTTGAAAAAGGATGTTTCCACAGGGTATTTTGTCCTAATTTCTCAACCAATTTAAGATTGGAGTAAAAACCTAATGTGTTTATAGAGGCTGAGAGCTGCCTTATACATATATGGTGAACAGCGAAAGCTGCAGTACCTAGAATAATGAGGGAAAGACTGGGCTCAGGGGAGAAATTCCCCATGGCAGGGACGCCTGAGTCCTTTATGTGCCAAACATACTGAGTGCATTACGTCTTTTTTTTTTTTTTTTGAGACAGAGTCTTGCTCTGTCACCCAGGCTGGAGTGTAGTGAGTGGCACAATCTTGGCTCACTGCAGGCTCCGCCTCCTGGGTTCACACCATTCTCCTGCCTCAGTCTCCCAAGTAGCTGGGACTACAGGCACCTGCCACCACGCCTGGCTAATTTTTTTGTATTTTTAGTAGAGATGGGGTTTCACTGTGTTAGCCAGGATGGTCTCGATCTCCTGACCTCGTGATCCGCTCGCCTCGGCCTTCTAAAGTGCTGGGATTACAGACGTGAGCCACCACGCCTGGTCCGCATTACATCTTAATAGCAGTACTGTACAATTCCTATTTTCATCCACATCACTGTCCTTTAGTTCTCTAAGCTACTTATAAACAGGAAACAGAGCAATCCATAGCCTCGAGCCCAGCACCACACCCAGCTAAGTAGTTCAAATACTGCTGTTGACGTGCGTGTGTTTTTGCCACTCACCATGTGTGAGCTCTGGGCAGTTTCTCAGGACTGCCCCATTGCTCTATTGTAAACAGCTGAGGACCATTGGAACCTAGACAAGAAAAGAAAAAGAAATGTTAAGAGTACTTGGGGTAGAAGAATGAAGCTATGGCGTGGTCTGCAGTTCAGCTACTGTCAGGGCAGGGTTTGCCCCCAAGGGTGAGGTCCAAGACACTCTCTTCTGCTGCAACATTGATATTTAATGTTGAGGGAAGCCAGAGGTCTGCACAACCTCACAGAAAGATCGCATTGTCTCCAGAATGGAATTGCACTAAGTTTAACAACCACAACAGTTATGTGGAAAGGCAGGCAGCTACAGCCTCTCAGCTGGACTCTGGCAATTTAAACTTCAAACTAGTTTTGGAGGTGGGAGGGTGAATGAAATGTGACCTTCAGTATGCAAAGTAGAGAGTGATTTTTTAAATCTATAGTAAACATGGAAAAATTCTGCCTACTGGAGGTGACTTCATAGATCAGTTTACACCATATAAATGACCCTGCAAAACCCTAGTGTTTAACGATTTTCTAAAAAACTAAACCAGGAAAAAAAAAGAGCAGCCTTATGGATCTCTTCACAAACCGCCCCCCAATCCCTCGAGGTAGAAGCACCATGTTGTCTATATAAAGTACAGATAACAGCACTTTAACTGAACTTTTACGGAACCTATGCATGGCACACTGTCCTGAAACTTAGCCTTCTGCAGAGGCCTGGGCAGCTGGGTTCTTGGGCCAGAGTTCATGCCTGGCTGGAAATTCCCAGGAGGACAACTGAACCTAATGGTATCCTGCTCACCATAAAGTTCGGCAAATCCATTCATAGGTACTCGCGATGTCCCCGTGACAAACTGCAGTAACCGGATCCGCTTTTCGGCGTCCATGAGTAGCACAGCCTATGAACAGAGGCAGAAGCTCGTTATATCCCCCACGTGACCCATGGCACATGCTGCTGTCATGCAGGCAGGCAGAACTTCATCTTATTTATATTGCAGTGTAAGACCTAGACAGTTGACTCTGAAAACTGAGTAGTTTTTTTATGGCCACAATACGAGCTGGCCTCTCTAATCTAAGAGACTGAGTGATCACAACGTCCATCTCTTTCTTCTTCTGACAATAGGCCAAAATAAACGATATAAAAAGCAAACTCTGATGGCACCGAGCTCATGTTTCTGTGTTCGAGGCTTACCAGTTCCCCCTAAGCCAATGATAAATATACAGTATTTAAGATTTGTCATCACAAGGGGAAGCCAGGTTATGAGATGGGATTTCAGACTGTAGACATGTTTCCTAGAAGACATCATTTTATCAAATGAAAAAAAAAAAAAAAAAGCCAAACAAAACAAAAAAACAAAGGCAAAGATGGGGTTCTAAAACAATCTGTGTATCTTACATAACTGCATTATTACAGGAATCCAGGTGGCTTTTCTGGTAATGTCACTGGGACTATTTAAAACAAGCCAAGTGAGACCTGGACTAGGATTTGAAGACTCTGCATTTTTTTTTTTTTTTGACACGAGTCTCACTTTGTTGCCCAGGCTGGAATGCAGTGGCCGCAGTGGTGCGATCTCGGCTCACTGCAAGCTTCGCCTCCCGGGTTCACGTCATTCTCCTGCCTCAGCCTCCTGAGTAGCTGGGACTACAGGTGCCCGCCACCGCGCCCGGCTAATTTTTTGTATCTTTTAGTAGGGACGGGGTTTCACCATGTTAGCCAGGATGGTCTCGATCTCCTGACCTCGTGATCCACCCACCTCGGCCTCCCAAAGTGCTGGGATTACAGGCCTGAGCCACCACACCCAGGACTCTGCTTTTTTCATCTCTATTCCTGCTGGCATTTGAAATAGTAGTAATAGGCATTTAGAAACATGAAAAAGGCTGGGCATGGTGGCTCACGCCTGTAATTCCAGCACTTTGAGGGGCCGAGGTAGGAGGACTGCTTAAGCCCAAGAATTTGAAACCAGCCTGGGCAACATAGTGAGACCCCATCTTTAAAAAATAAATAAATAAAAATAAAAGAAATTTGAAAAAGTTAAATGATTCCTTTTTGGGTGAAGTAAATAATCAGTCTTTTTGGGGATAACTGTTCCTTTTTTAAGTTTGTTTACTGCATCTCCCTTGGACTTGGACTCCTCCATTCCTATTTTACTTCCCTCCTAAGCTGAACAGGATACAAACACTGGCCCTAAGATAATAAATCAAAGTTGTGTTATCATTGGTTGAAAGATACACAGATCAAAATATTTGTTGGAATGTATTTTAAAAATTGAGAGAACGATTTCTTAACAGAAAGTGGCACTTTGCAAAGCCAACCCTGAAGCCTGTTTCTGCCCTGAGGAGCTCCCCGTTCCTATTTACACTTTGGAGGACCAGTCCCTCAAATAAAAGTCGCTTTCACGAGGTGGTCAAGGAAGGCCAGTGTGCTTTTGTAGTGACCAATTCATTCAAGTCTAGCTGTCTGCTCCAGTTACAGAGGAGCCGCCACAGGGCTGCCGGCTCAGTTTGCCTCTTCCCTCCCCCAGCAGTCCAAGCTCTAACAGACCCCAAAGCCAGCATCAGTCCTGAAGTCAGGCCACACGGAGGGCACCACACAGCTCTCAATCCTGCCTCAGGTGGAGGACAAGGGGCAGGGCCGGGCCCTGGAGTTTGTTACCTTCCAGAACCACTGAATAACAGGGTGGTTTGGACAGTAGCCGTTCTTGTAAATAGAATGCTGTCTCCAGTCATTCACGTCCACATCACCGAGGCCGCACATGAGCAACTAGGAAGAAAATTTACCAGATGTAAAAGCAGGATGTAAAAGCTGCGAGACCACACACTGAGAAATGACCACCCTCAGTGCCAGCATGTGGTCGCTGTGCCATGAAGGTAAGCTACCAAATCATAACAGAGGAAGGCAGACACCTGTTCCAGGCTCCATCTGCCATAGCGATCACAGAGGCAGCAGTCACGAGGGTGGCTCAATTCGAACCCCGTGCAAGCCACGGCATGTTATATTGGATATAAAAATGCCACAGTCGTCCTCTCTACCCCTCTAGTCTTACGCATGGGACCCGTGGATTTTCTCACGCTCCAGCAGCATCTGCGCATTACATGGCTGCTTTTCCTCCTGAGAGGGTACTCCTCTTATCTGAAAGCATCTCCCTACCCACAAAAGAATTAGTGCTTATGACAGCAAGAACTTCTCTCCTCCGGGCTAGTCAATTCCAGTGATGACAAATCACCTCATCTGATCTGCCCAGAGGCCTAAGAACGGCAAACATATGCCAATGCTAAGGCATCACTGGGTCTTCGAGTTAGCATTTAGTCTAAGGTTTGCTGTTCTTATTACTCAACTCTCCATCAGGGGAGGTTTCCTGTGGACGAATGGAAGAAATTCCTGCAAAGGTACCAGAATGAAACGGAAACAGAACTAAGCCAGAAGCCTGGAAATACAGTTCCTAGGCCTGACTGTGCCAAAACCTTGCTGGGTAAACCCAGCTGCTCCCTGCCTCACTTTCCCACCTATAAGAGGAAAGGCTTGAGGTATATGATTTCCACAGACATATCGATTTTGAACTTTCCGTTTTGAGATAAAAGTACAGAAAGCCAGTCTATGGAAAATGCTCACTGGATGTGGATGGGACAAACAGCCGAGTCCCACCAACAGCTTCTCAACAGACACAGCCTTCCTCCTGTTTCTCTCGACACAACAAAGGGCGAGATATTCCTTTGTTTTTAAAATGGCTGTTGCTCATGCTCATCTATGTCACACAAGAAGCTGAACTAAACAATCATTAAACTACCTTTTGATACTACCTTGTTGCCTTCTGGTATTTTTCCTCACTCAACATACACCACTTCAAGTTCAACGAGACATCTGTTCTACAGGCCCAAGTAGATGCTTATGGCCACCTTGTGGCCAAGACCCCCATTTGGCTGCCACGGGGGGGGGGGGGGCGTGGATGGGGATGCAGCAGAGGATACTTGGCCAGTCTGGGAGTGTAAGCAGGTTGCTGCTGTCCAAAGGGCTACTGCAAACCGTGTTTCTACTTGTTGTGGCGATTTGCCTTGCCTGGTGCGTAGGGCCATGATCCCAGCTCTGCTCAGTGGTCTCTATTCACTAGGCATGTTCCAGAACTGCCCTCTCATGGGCAAGGCAACTACCGCTGATTATTTTTGCTGTTCCTTACTCCCACATTGGCAAACAAGCCCCATAAGAGACATGTAATAGAACCACATGGGCAAACAAGCCCCATAAGAGACAGGTAATAGAATTCATCTAAAGTTACCCTCTAGGACATTATGGATCCAAGAATATTAAAATATTACTTGTAAAGTAATGAGAAATACTTTAAAAAATCCACTTTACATAAAATAATGTTTATAATACAAACCTCCAGCTCATTTTCATCAAAAATTTTAATCAAATCAATAGGAAGCAGTTCTGTGAATCCCTGAAAGAAAAAAAAAAATCATCTTAAACACCTATTGCTTTGAAGAAAAAAAAAAAAACAAATTCACAGGAAAAACAAACTTCTCTGGTAAGCCAGAAAAAAATGCAATCTCTCCTGACGATTCCTACGTCAGAGACAGTATCAAGTAACTATAGTTCCAGTAAAAACAGCACAGTCACTACAAAAGTTTTGAAAAATCATAGAATCTAGAAGATTCGAGTAGTGGAGTAATTTTTGAAACCTGATGAGAATACTGGATACTGTAGGCAGGTGGATTCCAAAAGCCATTTATAGCACTGCTGTGAGTCAGTGCGCCCTAAAATGCACAGGCCACAGATGTGTAAGACACACTTAAAAATAACGTCCTGGAGGCATGGAGAAGAAACACAGAGGGAGGCGGGTGATCGGTGCAGACTGTGCGCCCAGAAAACCACGCTCCAGTTCCCAGGGTACCACTAACTGTGGCGTGATCTAGGACGAGCTCAGCTCTGCTGGGCCCTGCGCACTGCCAAAGTCGTGTTTCTGAAGGTGTGGACTGCCTGTGGTGGGGCCCAGGAATCTGCTTCCTGGGATTTCTTATCTAAATAAAGAATGAAACCTGACATTTTGCCCCCCCCCCATTTTAAGTTCCTAAGGCCCTGAGTTGTTTCTGAGTGTGCTGCCCGGGCTTCACTCATCCTGTGTAGGTGCCTGAGTGAAGGGAAATAATCACCCCGAGAGCTCTGCCTCAGTGCAGAGAACACCAGTCACGCGGACGCGAGGCCGTTTCCTGTGTGATCTCTGAGGTAATGGATACTATCAGATTTAAGAAAGAATTTCACTTTTGGTCCAAGTGGAATACTGTTTAAAATGATGAATCCCTCACCCTCTGCTAGGGGCCTGGGAGCATCCCTGATATTAAAAAGTTGGATCTGGGCAGTGCCTGCTTTGCTCTGTATCAGGGTAAAAGTTGTCATGAGGTGGCTGGGTATAAAATAAAAACTAAGCTTAAGAAAATCTGTTTTCCATGTATCTGTATAGAAAATAATCTGCAATGGATTACTAATATAGCCACAAAGAAAAAGGGCAGGGGATTAAAAAAAAAATGCCCAGGGCTGGGCGCGGTGGTTCATGCCGGTAATTCCAGCACTTTGGAAGGCCGAGGTGGGTGGATCATGAGGTCAGGAGATCAAGATCATCCTGGCCAACATGGGGAAACCCTGTCTCTACTAAAAATACAAAAATTAGCCGGGCGTGGTGGCACATGCCTGTAGTCCCAGCTACTCGGGGGCTGATGCAGGAGAACTGCTTGAACCTGGGAGGCAGAGGCTGCAGTGAGCCAAGATCACGCCACTACACTCTCGCCTGGGTGACAGAGCGAGACTCTGTCTCAAAAAAAAAAAAAAAAAGCCAGGCAGCAGTGATCCATGGAGGGTGGTGAGGCACTGCGGGGACTGTGCTTTATCATTCAGCTCTGAGCCCTCGGGCTTCTTGGAACCTGTCACTGCAGCAAAAGACAGACTTCTCTTGGGTACCACCTGAAACTTCAAGACAGTGGTTCTAGATCAAGTTTGTAAAATATCCTCTTTAAACAGGACAAATATAAAAATAAGAAGTCAAGCAGGAGAACCCGTGAAAAGGAAAAAGAGGTAGTGGCACGGCAGCTGAACACTCTCGTGCTGGAGACTGGCCAGCGGTGTGAGCTGTGCGATCCCAGCCTTCCTGCGGGGTTCCCAGCTTCGCCCCTGTCTCTCAGTGCATGATCAGCTCCACCACACCAGCCAAAGGAGAAGCGCGATCCCCGCTCGACCCAGGACCAGAGGCACACGGCAGAGAACCCTGGCCAGCAAGGCTTACCTCCAAGAAGGCGTTCATCTGCTTCTGGACCCTGTTCACAAATCTCCACTGGATGACTAAGCTGCAGGAGAAAAGAGGACAATATTGAACCACCTCTGTCATCACTAGCGCTCACTGCTTTCTTCACAACAGGGAGTGCTTCTCCTCCATCCGTGACAGCAGAGCAGAGGGGAGGGTCTCCTCTGCGCCCCCACTGTTTAGTTTATTCATGGCTTCTTTCAAGACTCCCTGGAACACCCGTGAAAAACCTAAAATCTCACTGGAGATTTCAAAAGAATAATTAGCTTCCCCCACATCAAGGTTTGGCTGACCTAAACTGCTTTAAATGCTTAACTGCTTTAAAATGCTTTAAATGCTTCAACTGCTTTAAAATGTGACAACACAGAGAAAAGGGGAAAGTTCATGGGGTATGAACACACAGGTATATGTGTATAAGATGCACACACCCATATACACACCACATATATGTATATGTATTTGTAAAGAGGACTCAGGACAATGCATTTAGTTATCTAATATTTCATTCTCGTATCCAATGTGCTAATATTCAACAATAACATACAAGCTTTATCAGCAAAATGATTTGCACTCATAATTTAATGCCAAAATTTAGAAGATGAATGGTAAGACCTCCTTATGCAACTGAAGTTCACCAAAACCAAGTTCCCTGTGACAGTGTTCAATGCACAGCATAACTGATCACAAGGCAAATCTACTCTGGATGTCATCTGAGGCATTCCATCATTCTGAAGGGCTCTCACCTTTGGAGTGGTACCACTGTAACCATGGTAACGGCCCTGAGGACCAGCCTGCAGCACAACCATTGTGCGGCCTCTCAGGCGGCACCTCCTGGGATACAATGATCAGCTCAACAGCATTCTTCTGGCACCAGGGGAGCAGAGGTATCAGGGAGCAGCTGGTGATTTCGATTACACTTTTAAAAGTAAAGCTAGCTGGAACCCTGCCTGGCCCTGACTCCCACTACGTTTGAACCCTAAAAGAACTGCAAAGAATGGTGCAAGACACATACCACACAGGTCAGAGTCCTCAGACTTGAGACTTGGGTCACCCCGGGCTAGAATATTTTTTAAATCCCACACAGTCTGTACTTTCTGAAGGAAGACAATGGTGTCTGCCAGGGTGTCATCAGCTAAGATTGTTCAAATTCAGAACAAGCGTGCCAATTAATGTGGCCAGGTAAGAACTGATGTATCTTATTTCTAGCCTATGTATTCAGCGTAACTTGAATTTTCCACTCTCACTTTCAACTTGAGAGTGGAAAAAAGTCTGCCATGTAATAGCTCCAGTCCTTGCCGGGATCTCTGACTAGAGACTCTAACAGGCTCCGTTTCTTCCTAATTAGGAAGGACAGTAGGTTTTTCTTTGCAGATCACACTGAAAGGTGCTAAGACCCACAGTCAATTCAAGAGCTGTCTGAATTCAAGACCTCTGACCAATTCCAAATGAGAAGAAAGGAGGGAGCCCAGCCTGCTGAAATGAAGCACTGAATGCAAACAAGGAACTCAGGCCACTGCGGCGACCCACAAGGGAGCCACAAACTGCACACTGCAGTGCTCACCTCACCCCTGCACAAGGGGATCTCCTTGGAAGATCCCAGAGTTATGCATTTGAAGCACACATATATACTAAAAAAGAAAATGTAATGTGCCCAACAGAGAAAAAACTCTGCCTGGTACAAATGTCTTAGAATCACTTAAGAGCTAGACTTCCAAAAGGACTCAACGTTTTGTTCCACTCTGAGACTGAGATTGAATTAAGAATATTATAAATACCAGAAACAATTCCGTAGGGTTGCACATGCTGAATTCTTCCTATCCATTTTAATTATTTCTATACATATCTGTTATGGAAAAGAAGTTGGGAGAGAGACAAAGTATTTTTTCTTCATTGGTTCCTAATTTTGCTCTGCTGGTCACTGACACCATGGCCGTCTGTTGCAATTCTAAATCTTAGTTGATATCCACATATTCCAAAAGAGTATCTGCCATATTACTCAATAATACAGACCTTTTCTCCCTCCTCTGTTCCTTTATAGGCAGCTCAATGGAGTCATGATACAAGATAGACTTTCCATCCCATCCCATATTCAACTTCCCATGAGCCCAAGCCAAAAAAGAACTCATATTGTTGAAAACTGACCAATAAACTCATGCCCATAATAAATGCATGAGCTGTTTCAGCAAGGGACAGTGACCAAACATGCTGTTCAATTTATTAAAAAAAAAAAGGCAGTAAATATGTGTATACGTACTCGATATATTCCCTTTTGTTTTCATTTGTGACCATTATTTCTGACCCATTGGGCTTCAAATCCACTTGATATGTCTGCAATTACAAAGATAAAACAACAATTACTTATCACGAAGTTATCTTGCATATTATTATTGAGTAACAATGTCTTACTAAAAAAGGAAGACAACATGTATTCAGAAATATTTCGCAGCAAGTGGGCTCTGTGCACAAGAGACTGTCCAATGAGGCTTTCAAATTGCTAGGATGTTACACAGTTAAAGATGCTATCATTAAAGGCGAATTGTTTTATGGTTACTTATGACTTTTAATTATTCTTCATGTATTAGCAATAATGAAGAGAAACATTTTTTCATCTGCTAATCATTTATCAGTAAACTAATTATGTTTAATAGAGAAAAGAACAGGGTACACCCATCAAGACTCCAGAAATCCAAATTCTAATGCATTCTGTTTCTGAAAATTTTCTAGTTATAAAAAAGGATACATGGTATTTCTTTCAAAAATGCAAACAGAAACTTAAAGACAAGAAAGAAGCTTAAGGATCCAGGCTGAAGAGACAGATTTATCTGGTTTTTGAAGACATTTATTTGCATAGGACGCCTTCTCCTTGCTCATCTGCCCCGAAGCTTCCTCCCTTAGTGCCACCCACCATCATGAATAAAGCAGCTGCAATCAGGGCAGCGCTTTCTCCTATGCTCTGACCCAGATCTAGCTTACCATAATGCCCTATATAGCAGTAACCAGCGTGAGGGAAGGGAGAAAGGCCTATTATTTTAAAATAATTTTTTTTTTTTCTCATTGTAGAAATTTTGGGGAAAAAAAGGTGGAAAAATATACCACCTACACCTCTCCTACTGAAAGAAAGCCATGCCACTATTTTGGTGGGATTCCCTGTAAGTCTCTTTTCCTCTGCCTGCAGAGTAAACCAAGCTGGGGGAGAGGGTTTTCTAGAGTAAGTGTTAGGGTGGTACCCAGGAGGGATGGAGGTTCCACGTTGTGATAAATGCTGTGCTCTGGCAGAGGCTGCCTCCAGGGGTTCCTTGGTCCTGCCACCTGCACCCAGGAGATCCTGAGCCCCTCCGACCCGAGCACTCGCACCTGTGTCTCTCATGGGCTTCTCCATGCACTGGCTCTTGTTCCCATTCACACTGAGATGGCTTTTCAATGTAAAACACATTCATCATCCATCCAGTCCCTCTACATTCTTTCTCTTTATTCAGGAAGGAATCTCATTTTTCCACTACACTTTCCATTTCTGCAAAGTCAACTGAAGTCTTCACTGTGCCCAATGTGAATTTTAATCCTATTGCTGCGTTTCCGGTTTTGCTGACATCCTTCATTTCTCCATTTCCCTTTCCAGCTGCCATCCTCCCAGTGCATTCCATGTTCTCCCAGGGGTCATCTGCTCCTGCCCCGTACAAGCTGTGTCGGGGATGGAGGATGCCAAATGGTTTCCACCCGGGGGTTGGGTGGGGATGTTTCCACAGTGAAACACCGCAGTTCGTGGCTGTTCTCAGAGGTGCGTGGACAGTGCTCATTCATACCTTTTGTTCTACGTGTTAATAACCCAGGTTGGCTTTTCTTTTTTCCCCCATTTATTCCTCCCCAGAAAGCCTTGTTGTTCCTTCAGTAACAGTTTTCTTATCAGATGTACATCAATGACAAGTTAATATATCCCAGCCCAGGCGTTGCTATTGAGAAGGCTTTTGGTACAGCTCGGCTACACTCAAGCCGAATCTTTCCTCCCACCCTTTCCCCCTGCGCATGGAAAGGGAAGGAGGTGAAGTACATAAGCATCCACGATCCCTGTAATACACTCCTTCCAGCACTCATCCGGCCCTCTTTCTTTGATCATAGAGCCTTCCTTGGTGTTGCCTGAAAGTTGTGATTTCCAGAGAGCTACTGAATGAGCGGGTCAGCCACAGACAAACTGGGGAGGGGAGGGCTAAGCAGGAAAACACTCTGCTTCCTACAAAAGCAGCACCCAAAGAGAAAATAAGCCAGTGTCGCCGAACGCAGGGAACTGGTTCTCACTTTCACTGTGGGAGGGAGTCTAATTGGTTCAATCTTTTTCTGAAGATATCATAATTTGGCAATAGGCATCCCAATTTAAAAATTACATATCCTTTCTCACAGATATATATATATATGTTTACATAGAAAATACTGAAATAGCCTAAACGTCTACCAACAGGGCATGGATAAAAATAAACGGCACGTCTACAAAATAAAATTCAGCATAGTTATTAGAATGCTATAGACTGATACTTAGTGACAGGAAAAGGTATGTGTGATATATTAACTTGAAAATGGTTTTCTGTTCCTGTGTAGTTTGCTGAGAATGATGGTTTCCAGCTTCACTCATAAGTGGGAGTTGAACGATGAGAACTCATGGATACAGGAAGGGGAACATCACACACTGGGGCCTGTCACGGGGTGGAGGGCTAGGGGAGGGATAGCATTAAGAGTTGTCTCAAAAAAAAGAGAAATACCTAATGTAGATGGTGGGTTGACGGGTGCAGCAAACCACTATGGCATGTGTATACCTATGTAACAAACCTGCACATTGTGCACATGTATCCCAGAACTTAAAGTATAATAAAAAAAAATTTAGGAGACTGAGGTAGGCAGATCACGAGGTCAGGAGTTCAAGACCAGCCTGGCCAACATGGTGAAAACCCATCTTTACTAAAATACAAAAATTAGCTGGGAGTGGCTCACGCCTGTAATCCCAGCTACTCAGGAGACTCGGGCAGGAGAATCGCTTGAACCCAGGGGGCAGAGGTTGCAGTGAGTCGAGATCACGCCATTGCACTCCAGCCTGGGCAACAGAGCGAGACTCCATTTCAAAATAATCAATTAATTAATAATAAAGAAAATGGTATGCAGAGTAGAATTTCACTTCTGTAAAAAAATCTGTATTTGTGCTTACAAAGAATAATTCTGGAAAATGTAAATAAAAGTTTTAATCCTGAGTTTTCTTGAGATACTGGGAATAAGTGACATTTATTTATTTTACATATTTTTATTATACTGGTTTTATTTTTTTATTTTTTTATTTTAATTTTATTTTTTTGAGACGGAGTCTCGCTCTGTCACCCAGGCTGGAGTGCAGTGGCCAGATCTCGGCTCACTGCAAGCTCTGCCTCCCGGGTTCATGCCATTCTCCTGCCTCAGCCTCCTGAGTAGCTGGGACTATAGGCGCCCGCCACCGCACCCCGCTAATTTTTTTGTATTTTTAGTAGAGACGGGGTTTCACCGTGGTCTCGATCTCCTGACCTTGTGATCTGCCCGCCTCGGCCTCCCAAAGTGCTGGGATTACAGGCGTGAGCCACCGCGCCCGGCCTATACTGGCTTTATTTTTAAGGTTAATATTTTATAATCAGATAAACTAATAATTTTTGAAAGAAACGAAAAAATGGGCCCATACTACCCATGCTAAATGAGGTCACAGCAGTAAATCATCCTGTGGGCAGGCGTCAAGTCTCCCGGTTGATTCTGACCCTGGGTTTCTCTGTGGGAGAGTGAGGGGAGGGCCCAAGGAGGGTCACAGGACGAAGGGTTTATAATTCTGCTCTCTAAGCTACAAGGTTAGGGGGCAAGTCCCCAGATTTTGGTTCCTCCCGGCTCGAGCCCTCAGTGGTACAGAAATACATCCTTCTAGGGTTTGTTGCAGGTGACACTTTCATGAGTTACAGGTGACACTTTCATTGGAAGCAATGACCACTCTTCAAATTCCACTTTTGAGACCGGTTGTCAGGGGCTGATCGTGAGACCGTCTCCTGCAGTGCAGGTGTATTGTCCAGCCCGCTACACTGCCTCACTGCCACTGGCCAGTGCCCCCAAGCCCTTGCTGGTTGGGCATGAGGCTCCATGGGAGTTGGAGAAGCGGGGACCACGCCAGGGCTGTCTGATTCTAACGCTCGCTGCCTCCGGGCACACAGATTCCCCGCAGGCCTCCATTCCTGCCTGACCTTCACTCCAACTACAGCCTGTGTTCTCCCTTCCCCCAAATCTGTCCCTTCTTAACGTCAGCTATTGCCACCACAGGAGGGGAGGGACTGTATGTCATCAGCACCGAATGCCAGGTGGCACCGTGACAGTGTCAGCCCTAAGCAGGAGAAGGCGGGGCAGCATCACACAGGGGCTGCTTTCCGCCCTGCACATTTCCTACAGGTGCTGCGGCAGCACCCTGGCCCCGTCATGAGGGTGGACAGCATCCCGGAGGAGGCAGAGACCCAGCAAGGTGACCAAGGAGAAACACCAAACTGCAGAAGGAGCTGGTGTTGGCACCCAGGGGACCTACTCCCTGGCAAGCAGTCTGCAGAGCCTCCTCTGTGGGGTGGATTCTTGTCACCTTCAGCCACGAAACGCGCACCCCGCCCTCCCAGGGCTTTCTGGGCCATCACCCTCCTGTGCCTGGGCTCCTGGAGGACCCCACACAAAGAACACAGTGCCCAGCCACAGCAGGCGCTCAGCAAGGGCTCACGGGAAAACACTGCAGTAGAAAAATTCCTCTTTAAGTCTACTGGCCCCAGCGTAAACTTGGTTCTCTTCCTCACAGAGATCAGAGGAACCTCTGGGGGACTCCCCGCCTTTGCCAGTTAACAACCCGATTCCCATACATCTCCCTGACTCTCCATAGATGCTTTGTGCTGCCTGGGAAGCTGCTGAGAAACAGCTTGGATCACATCGAATATGCTGAACTCGGCGGAACAAGGCTTGTCTGCTTGTCAGACTCCATTCTTGGAAACCGAGCACTGCTGGGCAAACTCCCATCGGTGGGTGCTCACAAATCCTGCAGGGCATGGCCTCAGGGGCAGTCAGTGCCCTGCACCCCCATCACTCCACCAACTAGGCCTTCCTCATCCTCTCCAGCCTCTCCAGCAGACATCAGTGCAACTACCGACAGCAGGGAGGCAGTGAGTCCACACCAGCCTTCCGACTTCCCGTCTCCCCAGGTGTCATCCCTCTGTGTCCCTCACTGGCCTGGAGGGGCCAGGGCCTCAGCCCTCCCGGGAGCCACCACCAGCTCTGGGCTCTCGGTCTGGCTCCTTCTGACTTCAGCCAGGACCATGCTCTGCCCTATCCCTCATGTTGACCGTTTCTGCCTTGTCACTCACTGCCTCCCGTCAAGTGTTTCTCCACGTTTTAATTCATTATTGCCCCCTAAAGAGCCTTTTTAGATTCTTTCTGCCAATGGCCCATCTCTCTCCATGAAATCTCAACAGGGAGATCCACAGTACACCAGTGGTATGTGCTGTGGCTTTTGGGAGGGCCACAAACCACTTTAATGTCTGACATGATCTCCTCCAAGAATCCATTTTTGTGCCCTTGGGGTGATCATTCCTATGGAGACTGGCTCAACGTGATCCAGGCCTGACCCTAAAGAACCTTCCTATATGGCTGCTGCCCATGCTTTCCCTCCAACTACTGCACAGCCTCTCGAAACTTCTGGTGCCTCTTCAAAACAACCAAATCAGGCCAGGCATGGTGGCTCACACCTATAAGCCCAGCACTTCGGGAGGCTGAGGTTGGCAGATCACTTGAGGCCAGGAGTTCGAGACCAGCCTGGCCAATATGGAGAAGTCCTGTCTCCACTAAAAATACAAAAATTAGCTGGGCGTGGTGGCTCACGCCTGTAATCCCAACACTTGGAGAGGCCAAGGCAGGTGGATCACCTGAGGTGAGAAGTTTGAGACCAGTCTGGCCAACATGGTGAAACCCTGTCTTTACTAAAAATACAAAAATTTGCCGGGCATGATGGCATGCACCTATAGTCTCAGCTACTCAGGAGGCTGAGGCATGAGAATTGCTTGAAACCGGGAGGCAGAGGTTGCAGTGAGCCGATATCCTGCCATTGCACTCCAGCCTGGGTGACAGAGCGAGACTATCTCAAAAAACAAACAAACCCATAACCAAATCAGACGATGTTCTGCTGAACTTGCAATCAAGAATTTTCACTTGTTACAGCCCTAAAAGGGTCCCTCCTCCTGGTAGGGGCGGGTATGTGTGCACAGCAGTGAATGGGGGTATGGTTTATTCTTCCTGCTTGGCACAGGATCATAGTTCAAATACTGACATTTCTTTAGTAGAAACTTTCATATTAGGCCCTAGAAACCAGCAGTCCCAGATTCTTACCAATCAGAAAGAAAACAAATTGCAAAATAATGGCAACAGCTGCAGCTTCATTACATGAAGGAACAGCTACCAAACTTCATGGTCTGATATTTCTAACTGTGAAATTAAAAAAAAAAAGCTTGAAACACCGTGGAAGGCTGACTGCATGTCTGTTTCAACCCATAGCAAATGCACTCGCTTTGCCCCATTGCAGAAGCGACTTGACTGTTTGGCATTGGGGAGGAATGGGCTTCCTTCTGGGTCAGAGTCAACAGTTTTGCAGAGGGCCAAAGAAGCAAGAGGCTTGTCTGGGCATCACGCTAATGCCTAGATTTCCACATCAACAACTATGAGTACCCACCATGCACCACGCAATGTGCTGGTGGGAAGTACATGACAGTGAGTGAGCACAGGGCAGGGATGCGGCTGCCATCACTGAGAGGAAGCTGCGCAGGAGAGACAGGCGCTAAACACACTGATTCACAGTGAGTCCGGAGGAGGAGCGGGGAGAGCCAGGCCATGCAGGACCTTGTGGGACAAAGTAAGGTTGGGGTCTTTATCTCAAGGGCAGGGGAAACCCCTGAAGGTTTCTGGCATAGGAAGGACACGCTCATTTTTATATTCCAAAAAGACCACTCTGCCATTATAGGGAGCCAAACTGGACGTAGAGACCAGTCGGGGGTCTAGTGGGGAAGATGGGAGCTTGGACTTGGGTGTGAGTTAGAGAAGAGATCGGGAGAATGCACAGAAGAAAGAAAGGTTTCACAGGCTCGCTGATGGACTGGATACGGGAGATGAGATCCATTCGCAGCTGCTTAACTCGCTCTAAATTCCTTCCCAGAGTGCAAAATAAATACACGAGTTCCCTGTTCAAAGGATAGCTCTCTTAAAAAGGCAAGGCAGTAATTTAACAAACTGGGCACCTAATTCTTATCTTACTCATCTCGTGGGTCTATTTTGATTAGTGCATTACTCTACTTGATCCTACCCCAAAGTCAGAAGAATTCAAACATTAAATGAGGAGGTCTGAGAACTGTTTTTAATGAAGCTCTAGCCTGAACGATCATCCGAAGTTTCATTAGAGGCCTGCTTAAAAACTCCAACACCCTGTGTTTGATTTCCATTTATGAGGTGGAAACAATTACACTTCAATGTAATTAGGAAGGTTTCCCAGATCATTTGCTTCTGACTGTGGCATTGCGAATAGTTTTCTGAATTGGGTTAATTTGGTCATATGGTTTTCTATGAGTGGATCCACAAAAAGACTTTTTTAATGCATTTAACATACAAGACTGATTTTAAATCTTCCTTAGTTCTTTACTTCCACTCCTTCCTTCATACGTTAAAAATGAAAGGAAGATACTTCCAGGGTGACTAACCATGTCTAATTGTTTGAAAATTGGCAGTTTCAGACCCTTCAATAGGTCCGGCTTTTTAAAAAAGGCCACTATGACTCAACTGATTTTGTTTTCTCACACTTAGGATTTCTATCACTTAGAACCTTATTCACATTTTCAATAAGCCAGATTAGCACTCCTCATTCGTTTGCTCAATAAGCACTTAGTAGGCATCAACTACATGCTGAGCACTGGAGAGACCCAGAAGACCTCAGGGGGTGTACGGCACACAGTACGTCAGTCAATACCTCGAGGACAGCAGGGAAAGAGGTGATGGGAGACAGACGAGAGTGCATCGGTACAGAGTCGGCACTGTCAAGGCAGCAATGTGGCACTGAGGCATCTCTGGGGACACTGTTGAAGGCACACTGTTTGCTGACAGGTTGACAGAAAGGAGTCAGAGGGTAATGCCAGAGGAGGGCAGGTCTGGATCATGCTAACAAGTTTTCGTTTATGCTGAAGGTCACAAGATGGCCAAGTAGAAGAAGGACATTTGCAGGGCTGCATTTCAGAAATATTCCATAAGGGGCTCACACCTGGAGTGGGGGCATTGGAGAACAGGGTAGAGAGCAGCAAAGCAGGAAAGGGAGTGGCTGACAGGAGGCTGTGAGAACAGCCGTCAAGAAGTGATCGGGGCATGGGCCAGGGGAGAGCACAGACAGGGGCGTGTCAAGGACGGGGAGTCACGGGGCACAGCAAACCTGGGCACGGGGAGATGGCATGAGGAGAGAGGGAGATTCTGAGGGGATGCCCAAGGGTCAGGTGGGAGGCGACAGTGATGGCACTGATGAGACCATAACCGACGTGAGGGCTGGGGAGGAAAAAGTGGCTTTAGCACTGGGACCTGTGAACCTCTCAGGAGAAGCAGATGAGGAGGCTGTTAGTCCAGGGAATTCTGGAGGCTGGAAGGCAGATGTGGACCTGAGATAAGAGGCTGGTGGTGAACGGAGACGGAAGCAGCTGGAGCCAAGGGCAGGATGAGGAAATCCAGATGGCAAGGGTAAGACAAAAAAACAGCGGGTATAGGACAGCTGGCAGGGTGACACCTGCATCCACAGGGCCAGCAGAGGACCATGCACTTCCAGGGGACTACAGACCACAGGGGAGGGGTGAGAGCCCCGAGTGAAAGGCACTGTGCCTTGCAGGCGTCTCTGAGGGGAGTGAGCCATTCATGTCAAAGGCAGCAGAGGAAGGAGGCAGACAGGGCTGGAGACACCCAGTGTTCTTGGTCCTGGGGAGGCTGCTGGAGACCCAGAGGGGCAGTAGCTGAAAAGACACCTCCCTGATCCATCACAAGGTCCCCGTGCAGGAGAACAGTGTCCGTCTGTCTGTAAGGATTCTTAGGCATAAAGCACAACACGGTGGGGTGGAAGGGGAGGCGGGACAAAAGGAGACTTTTAAAGGACTTGATCATTTACATTAAGCCACAAGGTCTCTTGCCTCTGGTGCCTGAAGTCCTTCTCTGAACCTCGCCCAGCCACTGAGGGGCACTATGGACTCCCCAAGTTCCACCCATGCCAGGACTCACACTAGAGACTGAAGTTTCTGGCTCAAACACAGGACATGGGAATAACAAGTGATTGTGATATTCATGTGATTATTTTCTTATCCAACAATTTTTACCCTCAGTCATTAAATCCTTTATATCTAGTGGCATCAGCTACTTTTCTCAAAGATTCTCTAGCAATCTTTGACATCTAGCAATAAAGAACACGTCTATTTCATTTTTCAGAGGGCAACCATCACAATTAGTTCTATGGTCTAATTAATTTCACAGCCATGGAGATTTAGTCTGAGAGATGGGAAACACCTCGGGGCTTTTGTGGAAGGACAGGTACCAGGGTCGGAGAATATCCTGAGAACACCTCCCAAGCTGCACCATTATTACTGAGTGGCAGACGAAACAAAGGCTTCAGATTTGAGACAGATACATCGTATAGATCCTTAGGATGAAGAGAATTCCAAGCAGGCAACTTGATCTTTGAAATCCACTTTTAGTGGCCCATCCAAATCCCTGCTGACCAGTCTGAAATTGACTCTGAGGATTAATCCAGCCTGAGTAACAGCGTGGGGGCAAAGCAGATGGAATGGTAGAAAAACCTGAGCATGCCATGCTGAGCCCTACAAGACAAATGTCGCCATCACAACAGAACCATAAAACAGAGAGAAAAACCAATGGCCCTTCCAACATCATCCACTCCTGGTCATGTATTTACATTGTTAAGTCAACAATCGCACTATTTTTTTAAGTACCTAAATTCTAAAACCGAGGTACAAATGAAACATTCACATTTGCTTTGGATTAGAAGAGGTGCCGGTTCAGGCCCCCAAGGCCTCTTGGAATTTCTGTAACTTTGCTGGAAGAGAGAAATGGTTGTAATTGGAGTGTGGCTTCCTGGCATGACAAGAAGGTGCTGCTGCAATGAGATGAAAATCAACACCTGCAGCTCCTGCTGGTTCTTTCCGATTGTCCAGCAAAGTTGTGTTACAATCTGTCAAGAAGAAAGTGCCCCTTGAAAGCGAAAGAAGAGTTCCCAGGGTTACCCACACGTACCTGTCCAAAGTTTTCTTCATCTATGCAGAACATGAGGTCCAGCTCAGTAGGGTCATTCTCCAGGATCCATTTCAAAGAGTTGTAATATTCACTATCCTACAGAATGACACAGGAGTGAAAATTCCGCATTTTTTTTCCCCGAAATACAAACTTGTTTGGCTTCTTTAATTACATTCTAATGTAATCCTGTGCAGGATGCTCAAGAAATATGTTACTAATGCAATGTTTCCTGCTCCACCTAAACCAAACCTTCCTCTTTAATTTGAAATATAAACAAACAAACTGCTTTAGTTGTAATGGGCTTGCAGTTAAATCCTGTCCTTGGTGATGCACAGTGGGAGGTATCTACTCTGGATGGTGCATGGAGCTGCTGTACTGGTCTACAAAATTTAACATACAGACATCAGTGTACTTTCTTTTTTCCTTTCTTTCTTTTTTTTTGAGATGGAGTTTCGCTCTTGTCACCCAGGCTGGAGTGCAGTGGCGTGACCTTGGCTCACTGCAACCTTTGCCTCCTGGGTTCCAGTGATTCTCCCGCCTTAGCCTCCTGAGTAGCTAGGATTACGGGCGTGTGCCACCACACCTGGTTAATTTTTGTATTTTTAGTAGAGATGGGGGTTTGGCCACATTGGCCAGGCTGGTCAATATACTTTCTATCATTTTAGAGTGAAAATACCATGGCTGTAATTCCAGCACTTTGGGAGGCCAAGGTGGGAGGATCACTTGAGTCCAGGAGTTAAAGAGACCAGCCTGGGCAACATAGTGAGACCCTGTCTTTATAAAAAATAAATAAAGTTTTAAAAAAGAGTGAAAATATCTGAGGAAAATAGGAAGGATAAAGAACGTTCTAGGCTGGGCTTGGTGGCTCATGCCTATAATCCTGCAATCCTTGGCTTTGGGAGGCTGAGGTAGGAGGAGGGCTTGAGGCTTGGAGTTCAAGACTAGCCTAAGCAACATAACGAGACGCCATGTCTACAAAAAAATAAAAAATTAGCTAGGGATGGTGGTGTGTGCCTGTGGTCCTAGCTACTTGGGAGGCTGAGACAGGAGGACTGCTTGTGCCAGGAGATGGAGGCTGTAGTGAACTATGGTTGTGTCACTGCACTCCAGCCTGGCAAACAGAATAAGATTCTATCTCCAAAAAAATAAATAAGTAAAATAATGTTCCAACTAAGAAACACCAATAGTTTTAAGTTATCCCCTTTCCTGCGCTTTGATCACTCTCCAGGTTAATGTTAGCAAAAAGGGTGGCCGCTCTGGTTTCAGAATCCAGAGGAGCAGTCACAGGCTTAAGCGCCTGTCCCTGGTCCCTCCACGGTCTCTCCTGCTGGGGACACGATGGGCTGTGAAGAGGGTAAAAATAATACATGCACTGTATTTTAGGCACTAACTGTCAGCATGTGGTATAAAGTTAGACATTAAGAGAAACTGCTGTGCTCTTTATGATGTATGATGTATGCTATGCTCTTCATCACTGTATGATGAAGCAGCAGAAAGCACAAATACAAGGTGAAAGTGGAGACTGGAATCACAGGTGTGCACCCAACCCACCATGACTGGCAAACCAGTAGCGGATTCAAGGGCACTGCTGGCCTCTTCCTCTCCTTTCATACGAGGAGGAACAGAAACACTGAGTCAGCACTGGTCAGGGCCGAGGACACAGCTCATCTACTCAACTGTGCCCAAGATATAGTTGGTATCACAGCCAGGTGACGTCATGCAGGGGCTTTTTAACTCAAGTGAGCAAACACGAATGAGCTGCAAATGCCCCAAATGGACAAACACGCTTCCCAGTGGCCCGTGTGTGCGCTGGTGTGTGGGCAAACACCCATACACTCTGGAGGAGGATGTGGGGTATAGGTATATTAAAAGAAAAAGAGAAGCAGAAGTATATTATAAGAAGAACATCAATTTTTGTTTTACAGAAAATCCTGGCTGGGCGTGGTTGGTCATGCCTGTAACCCAGCACTTTGGGAGAATGAGGCAGGAGGATCATGAGGTCAGGAGATCGAGACCATCCTGGCCAACATGGTGAAACCTTGTCTCTACTAAAAAAAAAAAAAAAAAAAATTAGCCGGGCATGGTGGCGTGTGCCTGTAATCCCAGCTACTTGGCTGAGGCAGGGGAATCGCTTGAACCCGGGAGGCAGAGGTTGCAGTGAGCCAAGATCGCGCCATTGTACTCCAGCCTGGGCGACAGAGCAAGACTTCGTCTCAAAAAAAAAAAAAAAAAAAAAAAAAAAAAATCCTTCCAACTCTAAAATGGTCTAGGTAAAATTAATGTTAAATGCAACATGAAAACCCAAATCACTACTTGGAGAACGTCTCAAGTGTTCACTTGTCTGAGCTGTGGCGTCACTCATCCATGTCTAGGATGTCTGCCTGATATTCTTCCTATTGCTTTGACCTTTGCCTCTGCCATTTTTATGAGGTCAGGAAACAGAGGGAGAGCGGATGAAGCTCTAAACATTCAGTAGCAGCAGTTTTTATGGGAAACACAGGCTACCATAGATCTTCAGCTGTCTCTTGGATTTAGTAAGTTCACACGAGTCCTGTGCTGGGTAAGCAGAGGCAACTGGGATTTGGATGTATCCACCCTAGGTACCATGGTCCCAGGAAATGTGAACAATAATATTTACTTATTACAAGAATTAGACAGATCAATGAACTTTTCAAGCAATTAAATGTCTCCTGTTGTTCACATGGAATGCAACACCCATAAAAGTGGCTGAGACTACAAACATGACTCTCCAATACCTTCCCATAAGACACAAGTGCCTGGTGACGGCCACTGTGTGACCTGCATTTACTCACCACAGATTCCATGTCATTCAGGGTTATCTGCTTTCCCAACATCATCTTGTAAAATGGTCTAATGAAGAAACCTAAAATACGGTAAACACTGGGTTTAATTTCAGGTCTTTGATACTGCTACGTTATCAGAGCACGAAAGAAAAGATTAACTGGCTTTCAATGTAAATGAGAAACCACGATGGAGTAACCAAGGGCCTTCTGCAGTATCGCACAAGTGAGGCGGCGAGATCAGGGGGAGAGTGGCAAGAGGAGGGCGGCTGCGCTAAGAGAGACGGCGCAGCAGAGTGGGGCCAGAAAGGCCTCTGGAAGGTGACAGATGAGCTTCAAGGTCAAGCAGAGTCCACAGTGCAAATCAGGCATAGGAACTGGGGAAGAAAAGGGTACACTAAGCAGAGCAACAAGCCTGGGGACTCGCCAGCAGTTTGCCAGGGCGGGTAGACAGGCCAGAGGAGGGGCTGGCAGTGCACAGCCCACATGGGGTGCTGGAGAGTTGGGGTGCTGAGGGCAGTGGTGGGTGTGTCAATGAAAGACCAGGTGAAATTCCATCTGTCTTTTGTTATCATTGCTCGGGCAGCGATGGGGAGAAAGCACAGGAAGGGGACAGGTTGGAAATCGGGGAGGCCACGGAGAGGGCCTCTGTAACCGCCCGGGGAGGGACGGCAGAGGCCTCAGGGAGGCAACAGCAGCGAGCTTGACCTCACCCCATGCAGGCGTCCTGCAGGGGCCTCCATTTGACCTGATCTAAAGGCATCACACGCCTCCTCAAAGGGGGCCCTGACCACACCAGACCTGGCACCCCAGGCTCCTGCTTCTGCTCCTTTATCCCCCCACCAGGCACCAACCCTCTGCAGCACAGGCCAACTCTCCCCGGCTCAGCGTGGCCCCATAAAGGCTCCAATAGACTCCAGTGTCTGGGGAAGTAAAAGCATGAAGCCGACCAGGGGGCGCAGTGGACAGATGTGCAGAATGAGCCCTGCCGACAGGGACATTCCCATGTGTGGGAAATTTGAAGACACTGCTGACTAGGCCCATCTATGCGCACGTGGACGCTTAAATGTGCAATTCCAGGTTTATATCGTGATCACTCTCATGGGGGTCACTTTAGCCAGCTCCTAGAGACCCTGGTTCTTGCTTCTGCCCATCTCCTTCCACAGAGCCTTGACTCTGGGCCAGTCCTCACTCATCTGAAATGATCCTAGCCTCTGAATGCTCAAATGCTACCCCACCTCCGAGGTGTAGCTCTTCCTGGGAAAGATTCCCTGAGCCGCCGGCCAAGTCACTTTCTCTTCTGAGGACTCAATGTGTTCCCTTCTGCTCGGACACTATCACTGTGATTCTTCTGGTTTTGTTCTCATCTCTTTTCCCCCCACTAAAATATAAGCTGACTAAGGTCAGGATCGTATCTTGTGCTTGTCTAATACCCCCTGTTACAGAGAGTATTAAAGACGCTGTAGCAACTAACAGCATCTTCTCACTTGCAAATGGTGACTAAACTGACCTTCTGAGAAAGTTGGAGTGAATTTGAGCAGGCTGAAATAATCTGTGGCAAGACTACAAAGCTGGAAATTAAAATATATTCACACTATACATACATGGAAAGAGTATGTGATTTAGTTTCCTTCTAGAGGAAAAAAAGTGTTTACTGTCACCCTCCCACCAAATAAAGCATTAAAATCACAGCATCAATATCAGCTACCAATTAACAGTAAAAACATATTCATGGGAAAAGTACAGAGGGTATACAAATTATTTATTAGAATAGCTAGGGCTCCATAAATGCAATGAACACAGTTCCCTTGGAAATATCTTTCTTGTAAGTTATTGCAATGTTAATCTCAAATTCTACTCTCCCTCTTCCCATCCTCAACCACTCTACCTCCAAGCTCTTAAAAAATATTTCTGATGCTTTTTCCTCACTGATGATTTCTGTAGTGTTTTCTTAAGGACACTATTTTGAATTGGTCAAATCTTTTAGAAGTCTCCAAGCCTATAGATAATGCCAGGTAGAGGGTTTGACTTCTAACTTTCAAGGTATCTTGAAATTCTTCCATGATTTACATGCTTTATATAAGAATAAAATTATTTTGTGTTATTTGTTTCAGGGTTAATGTCTTAGCTGAGTGGCAACATTATTTTGAAACTATTTAGTCCCTTCAAATTAAAAAAATAATTTGGGGACAAATGCAATAATCACACAATATAGATGGATGAGATCATTTTAATTAACTTTTCAACGAGTTTTTCCATCTGTTATCAAATCTTGCTTTCAGTAAAGTTATTCCAGAAAACATACAAATGTATAAATACATAATGTTCTGTGCTTTACAATGAAGTTAAAAAGAAAACTTTTGTTTTTAACTGTGTGTAGACATTATGTCTTCAGTGCCCAAAATAAGCTACCAGAGAAAAGCACATCCATTATGGGCAAAACATAAAAATACTTTATGAGTAAACCAGTGAAGCTTTTGCTTAAAAACTCATGATGCGAAAGATAAGACACCAGCAAACCACAAGCGGCACTGACCTATTTTTACTACTTCAAGACTTACCATCTAAGAGCTTTCCATGAAATACGGCCAGACCAGCAACTCTTCCAATAAAAGTGAAGTAGGACAAATGATCTTCATTACAGAGGCCTGAATTAGGGTTGATCTGAAGGGTGTAGTTGTCCCTTTTGAGGAGAAAGAGAAGAAAAGACCAATCATATTTTCAAATGCAAGATTTTGCATATTTCTTTGCCACCTGTCACTCAATTTCCACAGTGTCCTTGCGAGCATTCGGTACCTAGTGGGAAAAGGTGTGGGCTAGAGGACCTGACTTACCACATGCTCAACCATGACCCACCATGGAAGCTGATGCATGTGTACTCTAACGTCAATTAAACCATAAGAAACTGCTGATGTTTGACTGTGTTTGACCCACAAAGTGTCTATTTCATATGGTTCAGCCAAATATCTTGGGGGAGATAAGAAACTCCACATAATAAAGGGGCTGTGCAGGGATTCCCAATGATGTGAGTACTTTAGGTCGTGTCTGTGATGAGGGAAGGTTAACTCCTTCCAGAGGCTTTTGGCTTGGCCATAAGATGACTGCTATGGGCCCAACCCTTGGTCTGTCTTCTGACCACTACTCTGCCCTGAAAAGGCCTCAAGGCGATTAGGAACAGGATATGGCTCTCTCAATGATGCAAACCTGCAAATGTTTAGATTTGTCCAAATGACCTTGCTTGGTTCACAATCATGCGGATCAGTGGTTTTCAAACTGGGGTCACAGACAGTTTCCTCCAGGGGGGTATCTTTGAAAATGTGGAGGACAGGTACAGATCCTGTCTCTCCCCACCCTGCCCTCCACCTTCAGTAGTTGGATAAATTGTACACAGTGGGCTTTCTCATGGGACTCAGTAATAATAACAACAGACCAACTGGGCACTTCTTGGCTAGAGCAACTGAGAAGAATGCACTGAGGCTGCCTTCCAAATGAGCCCCCAGGAGATTGGTACCACGTGGGAGATGTGGGGGAACCCACGTCCCCTTAGAGCCCAGGGTTAAAGTGATGATAAATGCCCTTCAGCAAGGTCAATGACTATTCTACTGAGGGCTTGGGTCCAGCCTAACCCTTGGAGGATTCAGAAGAAGGAATGGCTGGCCTGGAAGTAGCCAGCCTTTGGTTGCTCAGAAAGCAATTTAGTCTGCCTCAGTTTCCAAGCCCGGCAATGACGAAATCCTAATGCAAGGGGAAACCTGATTCTTTCCTTACAGGAGCAGGGCATGGTCCTAGGTCCTCAAAGTCCTTACAATTTGCCTTTACACAGAGACCGCGGAAACAACTCTTGTTCCAAAAACACCTCCTTTTTTTTTGAATTCTAACACTGACAAATCCTCCTTTTGAACACTGCAAATGAAAACTGCCTCCTGTTCCTTATCATAATTATCCACGTTTTCAATTTCAACTCCATGAACCCATTAGGTAACAAAAAAAAAATCAACGTTAGATGTTCACAGAGTACACTATTTCACCAGGTAGAGTCAGAACCTGTTCTAGACTTGCAAGTGACTGTGGGGTGAGGAGAGAATAAACTCAACAGACTTACTGCATCTTGAACTGGTGAGCTGCTTATTCTTTCATTCTGTTTACATTCATACAACTGTCTCAGTGGGGGACACACTCTGGGTGTGGCCATATACTTACGTGGCAGAGTACTCAAAGAGGCCGTAGTAGGGGTTGAACATCTCTTTGGACAGTAAGAAGAACCATTCTCTGGCCACACCCCCGTAGTCAAGACCTTTCTCTGATTCAAACTCAATCCACAGTCTAGCTTTTAGGACATCTGGTCTTTTCACGGACATAATTCTCCGATAGGACTCTTCAAATATGTTATTTCTGTGAAGTTTCATTTCAAACCTATTGGGGATATCAGCCTACACAAAAGACAAAAGAAAACACATACAGTAAATACACACTTTGTTTTCCAATAAAAACAACCACCAAGGGTAGGAAAGTTGGCAGTCCTCAAAGAAACGGGCAGTGACAAATGGTTCCAGTTGAGATTCTCTCCTTCAGGGGCTTTCCCTTGCAGACAGAAAGCCTCGCTGTGTCACGATGGACACACAGCATCCACTAGCGATGCTCAGGAAAGTCAGAAACTCTGCTGCGAAGGAGAACAGCCTCCTCACCCCCTTTCATAAACAACTGTGGGCACTCCTCCAGCATATGGCAACTGAAAGGCAGTCAACTGTATCTGTTGCTTCTCTCAAGAGACTTTAGCCCAGGTAATCAAAACCTATAATAATCCCCACCTGGCCAGGTTGGGGGCACGCTCAACTCCGGCAGGGCTGCGAGGTGGTAGATATAATCCACGGTGCCTCAAGTCCATTTTGTAGCCATGGGGAGTGGGACCCTGATTATGCCAAGTGTGGGGAAAGCAGCCCAAAGCATGGTTTGCTGACATGAAAATAACAAAACACTTGACCAAGGCTGTGGCAGCTGCCTCCTGCAAAGAGGCAATCCAGGCTTGGTCTGGCTGTAAGAATGAATCTGCAGAGATGGTTTCCGGGTAGCAGACATTGCTATGTGAGAGTCAGAGAGCCTGGGTGATGACCACAAAGTCATTATCATTACCAGGGGACGTGACTCACAAAGAAAATTGTGGAATTTTTAGTATTCATCTGAGTTTTGAAGGCAAATAATCATTTCAATAGTAGTTATCCATGAGCTCTTGAATCAGGACTTCGGAACAGAGACCAAAACTCCTAAATGAGATCAGAGATTGTGCCCTATCCAGAGATGTCCTGGGCAGGAAGAACCGGCTGAGGGGAGGAGGCAGGGAGAAATGGCAACAGAGCCCAGGCCACCGGAGGGGGTCTGAGCTGCAGCTGATTCTCTCCCCTCCCTAGAGGTGTAACCATAGTGATGGAGAAAACCAAAGAGAAAACTGCTAAGGAGGAATTGGAAAGTAAAACAGAAGATGCAATGTTGAACAATTTGGGGGTGGTGTGTCATTAGAAAATCTAATGTTATAATTTAAAACACTGTCCATAAAAATGTTTAGAGTTTCTAGGTTTGAAGCTGCCAGGGATAATTATAAGCAGAAAATTACATTTGCACCTAGTACTGCCAATTATTATAATTAAATACAACTTTATATTATAAATATTGTAGCTGAAACTAAGCTTTTGCATTTGCAAGGAAGGACCTGAACACTCTTCTAACTGGGATCCAGGTTTATTAAATATGATAACTGTGCATAACTGAATGGGTTTCCCCAGATTTTGCGACTAGGGTTCTGAATTATTTCATATCCCATAAAAATCGTTCCTGTCTTTTTATGTATGACATACGAAATTACCCTTCAGGTGATTTGATACGTAATACTGAGTTAATCTTCACTTACCATTTCTGTTAAAAAGAAAATTCAGATTTCAGAACCAGGAGGATCAAAGTGCAGTGAGAAAAGGAAGGTAATATTTTTAGCATTCATATAAAAGTAACAACCAAGTTGTTCTCACTGAAGTAACTGTGGTAACTTACAAATGACTAACACAAAGCATTTTTGGAAGGCAGGATTACTCACAGGTTTCTTTAATTTCTTCCTGAAGTAGTCATATTTCTGCTTAAACTCTCTGGAGTAAGGAACAGCCTGGAAGATAAATTTATGAATATAGATAATGCAAACAATACACTTGAAATTTTATGTATACTTAGGCAACATTCAAGAGAATTTCATGAATCATAAACCGTAAATTCTCACTTCTCAGATTATCCATGGAAAAATCAGATCATGTCTACACAGCACAGGGGAAAGTCCTAGAACTGATGAGGACTAATCAGCTTTGAGTGTGGCTTTCACCCCTGAAAACAGCTATACTGCATTTGGGAAACCATTTAGGGATATGCTACACAAACTAAACACGGTTTCCAAGTGACTTTTGTCAGAATGTGAGTCAGGGTGCTTCTGTTTTTCTTTTTTGCTGTGGTTTAGGTAAGAGTTATTGGATAGATACTTTTAACATACAACTCCAGAACGACCTATGCTGGCATTTGGAAAAGTCTAATTATGATTTAACAAATTTTTGTGGGGAAGTACAATGAGCAGAAAGGGAAGTGAACTGACACTCTTATCAAGGAATATAAAATCAGGCAGATGGCATTCTCAAAAAATCCTCAATTTAGGAGTCAGAAGGTTTGTCCCTTAATATTTAGTGGTCTTGGGCAAGGATTTCTTAAATCTCAAATGCTTTATCTATGAAACAGAGTGATGGTACCACAGTTGAGGGCTCAGGAATTAACTATGCTCATTCAAAAGTTGTGATCTCTCTTCAGGGAAAGGAGTAACATCTTAATGTAGTCATTTAAATAATCTTTATTTGCTGTGTTGTAAAGTGGCTTATAGTATCTTAGAGTCAGAGCCCTGACTTTTGGCTACTGAAAAAGCTTAACGATATTTTTATGAAGCAAAAAGGACTGGTTTTTGCATATACACAGATATTAACTATGACAGCCTCAAAAACAACTCATTGCTTTTTAGACACTAGTATGAATTTCAGCAGAGAATACTTCTGCTGTTATCATTTTGGCCTAAGTTAACAAAATATACTGATGCTTAGTCTAATATCTCCAGACTCCAAACCTTACACTTTTACCACATTTATCTTGACCAGAAAGAGAAGAAATGAAGAACATGAACTTCCCTTCTTTATAGTTTTAAGACATGTTTATATAAAAAACTAACCCGAAACAACACAAACAACCACTCTTCCAGAAAATGAACATGTCAGTGTTTCGCTCTGTAATTCAAGAGCAATACATACATCATCTTTATATAGCTTAGGAGCAATCCATAGACAATTTATACTGCCTATGGTCTTTTCTTAGTTTTTAAGCCAGTCTTCTTTGATTTTCCACTGAACAACAGATTTGACCTCACATGCTATTTATTTTAGGCAGTGTTTAGTCTGATGAAATCACATAGCAATTCTGAGTCTAGGCAAGGTATAAATTTGTTAATAACTGGACAACTACCAAAATAAGAAAAAGAATACAATGTTCCAACATAAGCCAATAAAGAGATCATGTTTTCTGCTCTACCAACAGTACATCGCGTCACAACCTAAGACTTCCTCTCTCGTTTATTTCCCACTTTCTGGTGTTCATTCTGATCCATTCAACCGATACTTCTTGAGCACCTACTCTGTGCAAGGCATTTTAGGTGCCAGAAAAATAACAGTACATAAAGCAAAGGTAGCTTTCCCAGTTCCCTCCTGGAGCTCACAAGCTGCTGAGAGCAACACGTAATTGGAAATCAATGAATAAACCATGGTAGTGCCATGAGGAAAAAAAAAAAGATCCCATAGGAACTAAAAAAGTGACTTCCTTCCGTTGCCCCTGCCAGCGTTAGAACGCCTGAACTCTCAGGTAGATCTCATCAGCTGGCTCTGCAACACACTCTCTCTACTAAGCAGTTTCTTCACTGTTAAGTGGAAGGATTTGACTGGATGAACAAACGTGACTCGGCTCTTCTATTTCTGAAAGTCTGTGATTCCCAGCAATTATTTTTTGTTTGTTCCTGTTTTCGTGAGGGTTCTCCAAACATCATGGTTACATCACAGTTCCCCCTACTCCTGAAAATGCTGGAAAAAAAGCTTAAACAGTCATCACTATGTATGCAAGTTTGACTGTCTTAAATGACAGCTTCCCTAAGGAGCAGATTTCAACATGTGGCCCTCGGCCTGTGATGCCCATTCCCTCGCCTGCTCTGTCTCCTGGCAGGGGCTGAGGAGGTGTGGGTGGAAATGTCGAGGTATTTCAGGCCTTTCTCCTTCTGGGGAATGATGTGTGAAAGCTGAAAAATCACTGTCTTCCTCCTGTACTCATTATCTTTCCTCTCCAGAGGTAGTTCTCATGATAGAATAAGAAGAGCAAGTTTTTACATTCTCTTCCTGAAAAGTTTCTAAAAATGTACCAGGACAAACATCCTCCCAGTGCAGCTTCTGAAGAGATTACATGTACCTTTTTTTTTTTTTTTTTTAAGTGGACCAAATCATTTGTTCTCACTTGAAAATCTGGAATGTCATTTTCTGGCTTACAATTTAGCTTGTAAAATAGGTCTATGTGAAAAATGAACATGTCCGTTGATCAAAGCCTTTTTGCTCTGCATTAAATCTGTGTTCGTGTTTGGGGTACAGAATGAAAATCTGCCTTATTGTGTAAGTCGGTTCTAAATGTTTTCACATCATCACTGTCCAGGTGACACTGGAGCTCCTTGCACAGAAGGGCTCGTGCCCGGTGTGGGGACATCAGTGACACCAGTGCATCTGGGGCTCTGGTCCTGATTCCGAACCTTGCAAGGACTGTCAGCAACAGAATCAGCTTTCCGAGCTTCTGACAAATTGGAAATAACAACATTTGCCCTGCCTACCTGAGGGGACGGCTGCAAGTTTCAAATCAGCTGATTATAAAGTTACTGGAAAAATGAAGGTGTTACACAACATGAGATAGTGTTCATGACAGCAACATGTGCCAACAGCACTTACTAAATGCTATTACTAGTGATACTTGTTATACACAGAGCATGCTAACTTACAGGAATGCTGAACACTGAGCTGCCACAGAAAGGGTCCCCTTTCCCTAACAACATGTAGAAATGCTAGGCCTACTTAGCACTGATATTTTTAAAACATGGGAAGAGAAACTCTAGGTACTAGGTAACCAGAAAGATTCACAATTAGAGAAATCAGTGGGCACTGATTTTAATCTTTGGTTTTAATCTCCCGTGGGGACACAGAACTTGGCCTTTGGTCTACATGATGGAGAAAAGAACAGTCATTGTTTAAAACCTAACATCTGGAAAGGGGACAATAAAACTCTACCCACCGGACCAGGGAAGTTGCAAGGAAGCTTACCTTCTGTCCAGGACCATAAATGGGAGAAAAACAAAAAGAAACAGACCTGTAATAAATCCATACTCCAAGCCTGTGCCAAAGTGGGTATGAGGTCCACAGTTATACTGACTGGGGGTGCATGAACCCAAGCTAAGAAGTTAACAGTAAATACAGGTCAGGACTTACAAAAGCCTCATAGGAAAAAAAAATGAGCTTGCTCACACTCTCTCTCTCCCTCTTGCATGCATGTATACACACACACACACACACACACACACACACACACACACAAATTATAAACTGAACTAGGCAATAATCTACACTCTTAAGGAGAGTCTATAGACGTAGTGGGAGATTTAATGCTCCTAGGATCAGAGATAATAGAATAATCTGAAAGAGGCTAAGAAATAAATATCTTAAAAATAACAAAGAGATGAAAGCATCAAAAAATCAATAAAGAGATAAAGAGAACAGGACAGAATAACTATGAAGACAAAAGCAAATTTTAAACGACCAAATAAAACTTTGAGTGATTAAATTTAGTCACTGAAATAATAAACACAATGAACTGATAAACAGATTACAAAAAAGCTTAAAGAATTAACTGGAAGAGCTAAGTAATAACTCACAATACAGCAGTGAGAGAGAGAGACAGAAAACACAAAAGAGATAAAACAGACAATGTGAAATAGAAGTAAATGTCCAACAGGAGTTACAGAAACAGATACTGACAGAGAATTGGAAAAATGCAATATGTGAAGGAATAATAGGTGAGAATTTTCCAGAACAGAGGAAAGACACAATCCCCATATTGAAGAAGCCTGAGTCCAAAGCAAGACAAGTTAAGAGGACTCCACACATAGGTATATGATGATAGTGAAATTGTAAAACATCTTAAGACACAAATAAAAATTCAAAATCACCAGAGAACAGAGCCATTTACCTACACAGAAATGACAATGAGATTGACAGCAAACCTGTTATCATCATTTATGGAGGCCAGAAGACATGCAGGAGAATCTCCAAAGCACTGAAGGAAAATAATTTAACCAAGATTTCTATCATCAGCTGAACTTTCAACAGAGAGGTCAAATGACACTTTCTGAGTCAAAGACTAAGAGACATTACCACTCTCAGACTGTCACTGGCAGTGCTGCTGGGCAGAAGTGTTCAAACCTGAGGGGGCACCAGAATCCCGGGGAGAGCTGTTAAAACAAAGACTGCTGTCCCACCCCCAGAGGTGCTGATTCAGTAGGTCTGGGGTAGGAACTGAAAACTTGCATTTCTAACAAGCTCTCAGGCAATACTGATACTCTGGTCCGCAGACCACACACTAAGAACTATAAACTGTACTAGACTTCACTAAGATCAAAACTCACCCCAGAAAAAAAATGGATGGAAGACCCATGGTGGGAGAACCAATGGTGGGCAAAGAAATTTGTTTACATTTGGTAAAATTAAATCAGTATGGACAGTAGGGAGAAAAAAAATAAAATATATTAATGAGTATGTGCCTATTAGGAAAGTTTAAAGACAAGGTAGTTTTAATATTCCACCCAACAATGACGTGGCAAATGGGAGTGGGAAGAATGACATTCAAGTTCCCTGAGGTCCTGATGGCAAGGAGAGCAGACAGTGATTCATTTTAACCCTAAGTCAAGTATGTTGGTTAAAAAGTTTAATGTGAGAGCTAAAAGAATAGAAATAGAAAGTACAGCCTGCAAGCACATAGAGAAAATCAAATAGAGAGTACTCTATCAATTGAATAAAAGGCAAGAAAGAAGATAAAATACCACGCGAGAGAAAAGATATGCTAAGCAAATACGAACAGAGAGAGAAAGAGAATGTAGCTACATACATCTCAGACAACATCGACAGAGCAACAATCACCACGGAGACCCACACAACTATCCTGATTAGATCCAACAGCAAAACAGCAAAGAGAATGTAGATAATTTGAACACCACAGGCTTCACCTAATGGACACATAAAGAACTCTATATTCAACCAGAGACACAATACGCGTTCTTTTTAAACAGAAAAAGAACATTTACAAAAAGTGATCAAGCTTCAACTTCCAATAATAAACATTCTATAGACAATATTCTCTGACCATAATGCGATAAAATTAAAACTCAATAAAAAAATGAATAGGCACAATCCTCCCATACTCTTAGAAACTAAAAAGCATATTTTAAATAATTTATAAGTCAAGAAGAAAAATCAAATGAAAACTGCCAAATATTTACAACTGAATGACAGCAAAGTCCAAATGTCTACACTAAGTTGACAATTACTTAAATACACATTCTCCTATTGAAAGCAATATAATGAATAATAATAATATAAACGAAGGAGTAAACAAGGCTCTTCTATTAATAGAAAACAGAGAGCTCTTTCTTGGGGCAAATCTACTTGGCTTTATGATGCTAAGCAATTTTCAGTAAGATTTAATAAGGACTAGCAGTGTTTGAGTGACGGTCGGTAATTGATAAGTGATAAAAACATTTGAAAAGGCTTCAAAGTTATGTCAAAAGTCTTCTGCCACTTAAAAAGAATAGTTTCTTGAATTTACCTTGTTCTAATGATGTAGAAGAGAATATAATATTCTAACAAACAACTGTGACTGTGAATATATATATCAAAACGAATCATCAGAGTAAAGCAGTGTTTAAGGCACATAGAGAAAAAAGTTGACTGTTTTTACCCAGGTATTACTGGGCACTTTGCCTAGGAAATAGTACCCAAGTAACTGAACAAATCCAACAAATAACTAATGGGAGTCAGTTACCAGGGCACATTTGCAATGTAATATCTTTTAAGTTTTCAAATGGACGTATCTTACTAATTCAAAACATAATTTGAATGGAATCAGATTAAAGCAATGAAATTGGAATTTTAAATCTACCAACTGGCCTCTTAGCCCAGCATGTGATATAACAAACTTCAGTTACTTCTGCTCCTCTAGTCTAAGAATCCCAAATTTGCAATCTTCTGCTGATCGCAGTACATCTCCTGTAATTCCAAATGACCTCCCTGCGCTCATACAGCCACTGACAAAAGCTGGTGGTGTGCTCTCTGCTGATGAGTGTGGTCCCACTCTACAGACTTGTCAACAAGTGTGAGATACCAAGTGTCTCCTGATGCCCCGGGGAGTGGGGCTCTCACATCGCCTTATGAACACAGTGTGCTGCGGTGTTTTCAGAGGTCATCACGCCTGCATCAGAATTGATTCTTTTTCTACCCGGCGTGTATGAGGGGACCATGAGAACACTGTGGGTCAGCAGAGTTCAAAACAGCTCCTGAACTTAGCTACAATCTCACCAAAACTTCTACAGATTTTTGAAAGTTGTAAAAGATTTAAACTTATTGGCATGCATTTATTACTCCTGGCCCAAAGAAATGATAACACTCTATGAAGATAGGGCTTGGTTTTGCTTCATATAAAAAGGAAGGGAGGAAATTTTTATTATACTTATAATCCACCCTTTTATAAAGGAGAAGAAAAAATGTTTAATTCTGCCGTCATTATCAAGCTATTTTCTTTTCCTTTATAATGAAATCCGTCTGAAAAGGCACATGCAGCTGTACCTCACCTGGAAACTTCAGTAAGAAGGAGATGGCAGCAAAGTACTCCACTTCTAGTCAACTACTCAATCACACCAGTTCCTTGACACCATTGTTATCAGTAATACACAAAAACCATGTAAACATGTAACCAAAGTCTTATACTGAAGAGGCAGAATTTGAAAATACTGACCGGACCAGTAATAGCTGGGTTCTGCAGTCTCGGGTCTTCCCACTGAGTAATTTTGCTATCTGAAAATGTTAAACAACAAAAAAAAATCAGAACATTAGTTCAAATCTATTCTATGTAAAGAAAGCTTTAGAAAGAAGTATTTCTGGATTCTTCAAAAGCTGTCCAGTCCCCCACCCTGTGTTCTAAAGACAAATTAGTATTTCAGAGTTAGCAGGTAACTATACGCTATACGGCAACCCCTCTCACATACTGTTTAGTTAAAACCACTCAATCAAAAATGCACAACTAAAGAGAAACCAGCTATTCATACTGTTTTGGGCAAACAACTTGCTAAAATGGGAATTATAAACCCCTGTTCTTTCAAGGATTTATAACTTGATCTTGATTTTCACTTAATTGAAAAAAGACATTTAAAAAGTCTTAGCTTCCCAAAAGGCTAACAAACACAGGATTTTCTTCTCATTTCAAATACTTTTCTCTTTATTTATGGTGTTGAAAAACTGCTTTCAATTAAGAATCCTGCATCGAACAAATGAATAATCTATTACATGCGTCACTCATATGCACACAAAAATCAAAGCAGCTGAGGCAGTCCAAGAAAGAGAATTAGATGCAGCAGAGGAAGATTACGGAGCATGGTTTCTGTTTGGTCATGTTGGCAAAAGGTGGTTTGCTTTCTTCCAAGTGAGTTAATGTGAACAAGATTGTTCAATGCTATCTACACCATTACTTGTGTAGGTGATATCGCTCAGGGTTTGTAACCGTGCATAATTAAAAAGACCTTACGGATTCCTGTGTGTATACTGGGGTGGAGTGGAGGGAGGGAGAATGCGGTGGACTCACATGAAAAGTACGGAGGGGCAGACTGGGCAGAGTAGGTTCTCTGGAGTTTTTGGATCTCTAGGTTAGTAAACAAAACAAAACAAAACAAAAAAACAAAAAAAAAAAAAAAAAAAAAAAGAAGAAAAGTATTCAAAAAGTAAAAGGTGGCCAGGAGCAGTGGCTCATGCCTGTAATCCCAATACTTCCGGGGGCTGAGGCAGGAGGATCACTTGAAGCCAGGGAGTTCAGGCCCAACCTGGGAAACATAGTGAGGACCCATCTCTACAAAAGGTTAAAAAAAGAAATTAGCCAGGTGTGGTGGTGTACACCTGTAGTCCTAGCTACTTGGGAGGCTGAGGTGGGAGGATCGTTTGAGCCCAGGGGGAGGCTGCAGTGAGCTATGATTGTGCCACTATGCTCCAGCCCGATCTGCAGAGCAAGACCCTGTCTTGGGGGCCGGGTGGGGCGGGTGCGGGGGAAGAATATTGATTCTGTTTATTTTCTGGATACACTGTAAGTGGGCTGATAAAAATAATTAGTGAATTCTGTTTTAACGACTATATCAGGAATTTTAAAAAGCCTTATCATTATTTTAATAAAAGCAGATGAAAAGCTAAGAGAGAAAAAAAAAAGCTACCAAAGCAAGTGATGATTCCAGAATCTTTTGTTTTCATGCTGTCAGAAAATTTACATGAAAAATCTCAACTGTTTGAGAGACTCTTGATGGAAGCAAAAGGCATTTTTGGGTCCCTTACCTTTCACGGAAGACTTTGGAAAGTAAAAACTGCTATTGTGATGGAAAACAAGAGAAAAGAAAACCAAATAAAGGAAACGGAATACAGCTGAGTAAAAACTGCCTTAAAACACCAACTTGGATTATAACCGTATCAATGGATATTGTCATCAAAGCAAAAAATAAATTAACAACTCCTGACTCATGGGGATTCGCAAGTCCTCAGACCCGAACTTCATGCTCCATCCTGGACATCTGCACCTGGGTTTCCCATAAGCACTTCAGCTCAACTCTACCAAAACCAAACCTCTCATCACCCAACACCAAAATTGGTAATGTGACCTTCATTCCAATGTGCAGTATCACAATCCACTCACTGTCCCAATCAGGAACCTGGCCGTGTCACTCACTCTGGTGGCCCTGGACCAATCCTCCCTCTCCCTGATAAGCTTCTTGCTAGAGAGCTCATTCTTTTTCTGAACTGTTCTCTGGGCATCACTGGGAATTGTCTCAAACCCCCTGATTCAAGACCTCCTCTACAGCTCTGCCAAAAGGATCTCTCTAAAGAACGATTTCGATCCCGTCCCTCCCCTCTGGGAAATCCCCTGGGAGCTCCCCACTGCCTGTGGCTTGAGCCCGAGTCCCCACACCTGGCAGACACCCTCTGGATTGGCCTGTGTGCCACGCTGGCCCCTGCGGCACACTAGCTGTTGGGAGCAATGCTGCGTTTCTCAGAACGTGGCAGCATCTGCACATATTCACACACCTCCACACATCCTAGGATTACTCTTCCCAGGGCTTTGCCTGCCTCAATCCTACTCAATGTTTGTCAACCATCTAAAAAGTGACCCATTCCCTCAGGGCCCATCCCTGTGCCCAACCACCTCCCAAGCAGATGCAGTCCTTGCCTCTTCTGTTTCTGTGTAACAACTGATCCACTCCTCTGACACTTGAAATATCTCCCGCTACTTCCCACTGGACTTAAGCTCCTCGAGGACAGGGACTGTGTGTTATTCATCTTTGCAACCCCCTCTCTACCACTTAAGACCAGTCCCAGCAGGTAACAGGAACTTAGTGCATTATTTTTTTTTAATGACTGAATGAAGTTGATGGTGAAAACAAAGTCCCTTTAAAAACAGCCTAAGCTTTTGGAACAACACAAGTTTTTACATGGTTATGATGAAGAATTCTGCAGTGAAGTATGGTCAGCGTATGAAAGTATGGGGTAGCCAGTTATTCTTTTTTTTTTTTTTTTTTTTTTTTTTAAGAACTTTGGAGTTTAAACTTGCTTTTCCTCTTTGAGATATTATATTTCAAATAAAAGGACAAGAAGGAAGTAGAAGGATGAGAAACTCAGTTTAGTCACGATGAACAGGTCCAGTAAGATTGTTGATAGGAAAGACTAAAATAGGACTTTACAAAGTCACTGGAATTCAATTTTCTCTCCTAATGTTGTAGACAGGATACCTGTGACCAATGACTCAGCTGCTGGGTCTGTCTGGTCTTTAAGAAGAATGACATCATTCCTACAAGATATAGAGATTCAGCTCAAGACCTTCCCTTAACCTCCCACCCTAGGCCTGAGAGCCAGGAGCCATTCCATAGACAGCAACCAAAGGAATCAAGGAGTCTAAAGAGGTTAGTCTTGATCATTCGTTGCTTTTGAAATTAAATCTTTAAGATGGCTGAGTATTGTTAATCTTGAAAATGTCTAACTTCTCAGGAAAAACTTACAAAGCAGAAATAATCAATTATTGAAAAGACAAGTGCGTCTCATCATCTCATCTGTAATTCCACGTGGACCCACGTGCCAGGCATGCCGGAAGGCAGGAGGACTCTAAGCAATTTACAAGTTAACGGCGTTCACAGCATTGTGGCACACGCAGGCGCAACCTGGTTCCTGTCCTGTAGGCATTATGACAGCAGAATCAGATGCTGAGTTTTGCTAGAAGAGTGTTTAGAAAAAGAGGCTTTATTCTGATGGAAAGGACATTTCTAAATGTTATCTTCCAGGTAATTCAACCCATTTGGAATGTATGTGTCAGCCTGATAAAGCCTCTTCAAAAGACAGGTATTCTGCAGTTTTCACACACTGAATTTTGCGGAAAGGCCAATGACTTGAACTGTTTCATTGATGTGTACTGTGCTACGGCTTTCCATTGAGTAAATCTTGATGAATTATGGTAGAAATGTAGCATGAACAGCTAAGGAGGCAGCACCCATAAATCCTTTTCTTAAATGGTTTTTGGTCACTTAATTTATGCTATATCTTTTTAACAGAATCTTTCAATATGGTTATGCAAAGGCAAAATAAATTTTAATCTCTAAGTCAATGGCCACAAGTATCATATTGGCACAGCTCAGTTGCATCAGGCTCTGTACAGAGTATACACGGAGCCTCGGGGATGCTGTTCTAGTCAAGAGAAATGAGGAAATGTTTGGGCAGAGCGCTGGAGTAACTGCAGAACTGATCAGAAGTAAGGAAAAGCCCAGGCATCTAGCAGGTAGCTACCTTCTTCCACCTTCCAGTAAGCCAGAGTTGGGCCAGCCTCAGGCCGGTGGGTGTGGGGGGTTGGAAGGAGGGGGCACCTACTGCTCCTCAGGTGAGTTCACTTCACTTTCTCATCAAGCACAGCAACTTCCTAAGAGTTTCACCACTGACCCTCCACGAACCTGATTTCAAGTCACCATGTATCAAGCATCTCCTATAGATTATACTAGGTCTATGACAGCAATAGTGAAATAGTCGGTGATTTTTACTATTTTAATGTGCGCTAGGATAGCCCTTTGCAATCGTGTTTTTCGGTTTTTGGCTCCTTGCAGTATACTAAACACATTCACAACATTCTTTTTAGGTTGACCTAAGCCAGATCTCCAGCCAGAAAACCATCACAATATTGTGTGCAATGCTCTCCATGTGTCACACAGACCAAGATGTGTTACCAGTGAAGACCTGTTTTAGTAAAATGATCAGTATTATTCACACCTGTCTGAAAACTGGAATTGTGATGTATAAAAAATACTACAAAGGACACTTTTTTTCTTTTTTTTTTTTGAGACAGTCTCCTCCGTCGCCCAGGCTGGAGTGCAGTGGTATGATCTTGTCTCACCGCAATCTCCACCTCCCAGGTTCAAGCGATTCTCCTGCCTCAGCCATCCAAGTAGCTGGGATTGCAGGTGCACACCACCACACCCAGCTAGTTTTTACTTGTGTTTTTAGTAGAGATGGGGTTTCATCACGTTGGCCAGGCCAACCTCGAACTCCTGACCTCAACTGATCCTCCCACCTCGGCCTCCCGAAGTGCTGGGATTACAGGCATAAGCTACTGCACCAAGCCGAAAGCTATTATTTTGTTTTTCGTGGGAAAAAGAGGTGTAGCCTCTCTCTCATTTTAGTAAATTCTCTTAAGAATAAAATAATAAATAGCATTTTAAGGAAAAAAGTAGGGTATACACATACATGGAAGCAGGAAAAAGACTTTGTTTACTATGAAATTCTGGAAAGTTGGCAAATCTGCCTATTTTTTTGATAAAAGACAAAAACTAAGTCTCTGCACCTTGAAATACCTGGTTTAAACAAAGGGTAGCCCACCCTTCTAAATACACCTACGACTTCTACTTTTAGTTGAATTGTAAACTGCTGGTACTCTTGCTTAATTCTATTTATAATAAGCCCTGAACCCCCAGGGCCTGAAGGTGAAATTCTGTTCACAACGTACTCTGCCTCCTAGTAACATCTGAAAAACGTACTATGCCTGTAAGATAGTGACCAGTCCTACACGTGTGAGGATTACTTGTGGCCAGACTTCTCAGCAGGTGGCTCATCAATGTGCTTTCGTTTAGTTATGAAAGTGTGAAGCCCGGGAAACCTGGTGGGACTTTCTGTTCATGAACCAAATGAAAGCAAAGACCAAGATACTACCAAATGGCACACACGGTTGAAACTTGACATCTATTTGAAGGCTTCTTTTTAATATACTTTTTCAGAAATTTTAAGGGACATAGAAATATGATTCCATGAAGAACGTGGCACCTCCAAAAAGAATGAGAAAAAAAATCCCACTGGCTAAAAAGCAAACTTATATTAGTTGAACTTTTAGTTGGAACGAGAAATCACACATTCATTCAGAGGTGCTGGAGCAAATGTCTATAGCAAATATACTACAATTTCTAGAAAATACATATATATTAGTGTTGTGGGTGCAAGGAAACATGCTGTGAATAGAAAATAAGGTCAGAGAGGGCATCCTGCCATAGGACCCTTGAAGGCAGTGTCTTAAAAAACTTACATGCTGCTTCAAGCACTGTTCACAGATTTTTGACTAAATCATCATTTCTAATCTTATTTTCTATTACCAGAGTGTATTTATTAAATGTGCAAAAGTCAAGGGATCAACAATCAAAATGTGGTTTAAAAATGAAAAAAAACCATGTTAATAGGTCACAAGATCAGATTGGGTGAAAGCTTGATGGGCTACTTTAAGCAAACTTGGGGTGAATGCACAGTACCGTATGAAGGCACTGATTCTCTGGTATCATTTTCTCCACATAACACCTGGCTACCTAGATAAAGAGTAAAATGACAAAGCTTTCACTGTGATGTCTGAATTACTCCCTTCCCTCTAACCCGCAACACCTGTGGGTCCATAACAGCGCCTACTTACTATGATCAATATAAAACGTTCGGCCATCCAAGTGAATTCTTTCTTCCCAGCCAGGCTAGTATCCGGGGAAGGAAGGGAGACAGAAAATATAAACATTAGCTAGGAGTTCCAAAATCAAAGGCAACATTTAAAAACTACAGGACACCTTTGTTCTCTTTTCTGCTAGGGTACATTTATGCATTGAGCATGAACTAAATATGAACACTTCAAGTTAACTCCTGACAATGTCTAGCAACACACTGTATCACGTGCTCAGGTCTCAGATGTGCTGACTGTATGAAGAACAGGAAATGGGCTGCTAGCTCAAAAGCTTCAAAGGGAAACTGTAGCATTCCATGGAACAGTGGAGTCTGAAGTTGAGTACCATTTAATTAAATAAATACTGAGTATTAAAGGAAGGCAAGAGGGGGTTAATATAAAAATGTTAGACACGGTTACTGTATTTATATTGTCCAGGCAGTTGATGATCTAGTATTGGTATTATCTACCACGAACTTTTACACGATTACAATTGTACGATTACAATTCAGCTAAACACTTAAATTCTATTAAGAAACACAAACCAGTGAGATCCACGAAGCCTGGAGATAGAGAAGGTCCACAGGGCCTCTCCATCAACATACAGCGGATAAAGGAACAAACATTTTCAGACCATTCCATGTGTCTCCAGTGTACTCACAGGAAGGGGACCAAGGTCATTGGGGTTTAAAGATGTCTTTGACCGCATATGCACTGGAAATTTCAAACGCGGATCTTCCTGCAAGAAAAATGTAAAAGACAGTAGATGCTAAGTGGAAGTATCTGTGTGCAGTTACTGGGTGCTTTTCTTCTTGAGCTGTTTGTTTCAAGGCAACCAGACTGTCCATGTCTGGAGCGTGAGATAGGTCCCATCTCTGCTTTGTACAGGAAGCCTGGCTGACTGTATCTTGAGACAGACTGTACTCTTCCTTCTTGTACTTGGTGGAAGGAGGAGAGTAAGAATATTTACATGAAAGGTTAATCATTTCCCCCAAGACCTTGAGAAGGGGAAAGGGAAGAGAGTCCCAGCAGTGATGTTACTAGGGAAACCAGAATGGAGGGTGCCAGTGAATGTAGCACAAAGAGGGAGTGGGGACAATGGTTTCGAAATCTCTCCATGGGTCCTGCGCCCCCGGTGAGGGGAGCCAGCCTAACACGTTAGGGAATAGGCCCCTCTGCCACACCCCGCTTCAGCACTTGTGTTCCCCTCCATTCCTTCCTGAACTCAGCAGAGAATGTGAATCCGGTCCGTGAAGTCACGTGGCTACTCCAGGGAGAGCCGCCTTCCTCAGGCAAAGTCACAAAGTTATGATACGACTTTACTGAGATTCTTGACCAAGTTCTGCAGATTAAGTTCTCATTTATGCCTTAATATTTAAAAGTTTACAAAACATTTTTCTTAAAGCATAGGCTTCATAAGATACCACAGAGAATCAACAAAAGAGAAACATGTACTCTGACATTTTGGGTCAGGCTGCATGACTTACAAGGCATGGTCAGATGTATGATCTTGCAACAGACCCTTGTTAGGAGGTTGGGCACATGTTCTGTTTCTCTAGATGAGGAAATGGAGTTTCAGAGAGAACAAGAAGTTGCCCAAAGGTTATGACCCAGAGTCCAGGAGCTGACTCTTACTTATGGAGACCCAGTTAAAATGCAGTGTAGGCTGGTTGCGGTGGTTCACGCCTGTAATCCTGGCACTTCGGGACGCTCAGGTGGGCACATCATTTGAGGTCAGGAGTTTGAGACCAGCCTGGCCAACATGGTGAAACTCCATTCCTACTAAAAATACAAAAATTAACCAGGTGTGGTGGCGTGCACCTGTAGTCCCAGCTACTCGGGAGGTTGAGGTAGGAGAACTGCTTGAACCTGGAAGGTAGAGGTTGCAGTGAGCCAAGATTGTGCCACTGAACTCCAGGCTGGGCAGCAGAGTGAGACTCCGTCTCAAAAAAAAAAAAAAAAAAAAAAAAAAAAAGAAAAAGAAATGCGCTGTTAAGGCCAGATGTGGTGGCTCACACTCGTAATCTCAGCACTTTGGGAGGCCAAGGCAGGAAGACTACTTGAGCCCAGGAGGTCGAGACCATTCTGGGCAACAAAGCAAAACCCTATCTCTGCAAAAAACATAAACAATGAGCTGAGTGTGGTGGTGCATGCCTACCTCAGCTACCTGAAAGGCTGAGGTAGGAGGATCACCTGAGCCTAGGAGGTCAAGGCTGCAGTGAGCCGTAAACTGTGATTGTGCCACTGTACTCCAGTCTGGGTGACGCAGAGAGTCTTGCCTCCAAAAAAGAAAATAAAAAGGAGACTCCATATCTTTACATTCCCAAAAAAACACACTGTCAACCAAATAAGCTTAAGGTTAAAAAAAGTAAACTGTTAAGACATCTGATATCAGCTTCATTTAATTTTGTAATAGGGCCTTTGCTGCTGCCAAATTGCTAGATTTTTCTGCTTCCTAAGTCAACCATGTAAGTTATAGTATCACTGAATCATAATCATAGATCTTGGGAACTGGCAAGAATCAAAAAAGACCACAAATAACAAAAATCAACCTTTGCTTCTTGCTAGTTAGGTGAACTTTTAAATGACGAAAGAAATCATGTTAGCAGTTTGTGATACATACTGACCCTGAACCCAATATACTTTTCTAAAAGGCTAAGCAGAGGCACAAAATAATCCAGTATTCTGCAGTACACTGACATACACAGAACATAAAGAAATACGCTAAGCAGATTTAGGATTGGGAAGGTCCAGGAAGCTGATAATCTGGTAAACATTTGTGACTGGTTAACTACAAACAGAGGAAAAACTGAAAGCACTGAATTTCTCAAAAGCTACCCACTCAATGCTAACTCTGATCTGGACCAGGTAACGCCACAACCAGCGGGGGATCCTTGGGTTTCCACCTAGCCAATGACCACACCAGGTTTACAGAAAGCTGAGGACGGCTATTACATGGAAGAGGGCAGGGTTTCTGAATGCCACACACAAGGCCAGCCTGGCCTTGGAATCACACGTACGCTGCCGTGAAAGACAATCAGCCCTATTGGTAAAAGCCTGGTGATTTAAAGGTGGAGGCGAGCAAAAAGAAGCTGAAATTAGAGAAAAGTGTCAGGGGGGCAGTGAGGGGCAGAGCATGAAGTATAAAGTCAGCTGAATTTCAAAGGTCTGCTAAAGTGGCCTTGCGTGGAAACCCAGACTTCACGGACTGTGAGGGCCAGAGGCCTTGAGGCTTATATTATTATTTCATTATATCAACAATAATAAAAATAATGGCAGCAGCTGCCACGAATCAGCTCTGAGGGCTAAGGCTAGTGGTCACCCCCGAACCCCCACTCCCACCGAGCCACTCAAGGAGGCAGGCATCTCTCTTTAGTTGACAGGGCACGTGAAGTGGCGGTCAAGGCTCTCTATTAGCTATGGACAACTTCAGGGCTGATGAGAAGGTAGGATACTAACGAGGTCTCAGATGCCATGAAAATAAATGATCCAATGCATAAAGCATGCTTGGTTGTTTCTTCCTTTCTTCAGTGTCATACGGGAACTCTTTCATGTGTAATATAAAATTGCTTCCCTCCATCAAGTTCAAAGTGTTTTTAAACAGGATGCAAAGAGCAGTATCTTTTTAAAAAGGGCTTTCCTAATTCAAAATATGTAAAACACAGGGATTTAAAAAAATGTGCCTCTTTTCTTTATCTTTTCCATCCTGGAAGAGACCAGCAACCATGCCTAGGGTAATGAGTTTCATTACTTTGAACTTGGATGGAAAACAAATCTGCAACGTAACTAGGGTGTAATCTTTCTTGCTACAAAAATAAGCCCATGCTTCATCCTGTGAAAGGCATATATACACTAACACGGGTTTAGGATCCCTCACCCATAATGCTTGGGACCAGAGGGGCTTTGAATTTCAAAATATTTGCAGTTATACTTACCAGTTCAGCATCCCTCATCTGAGAATCTGAAATGCTCCAATAAGCATTTATTGCCTGAGTGTCATGTCAGTGCTCACAAAGTTTCAGACTTTGGGTAAGTTGGATTTTGAATCTTTAAACTAGGGATACTCAACCTGTATACACGTGCTCTGAGCTGCTGAGGACAGAACATCCCTCCTAGGCACATTCCTCCCAAGCCCCGAGTCTCCTGCATGCATTCCCTGAAAGGCCTGACCCAAGCGGGGAACAAAGCCAATCATCGTTTGTTTGTTTGAATGAGGCTAAACTTGGCCCGGCAGGGTGTCTCATGCCCATAATCCCAGCACTTTGGGAGGCCGAGGTGGTAGGATCACTTGAGGTCAGGAGTTCGAGACCAGCCTGGCCAATACAGTGAAACCCGTCTGTACCAAAACAAAACAAAACAAAAATTAGCTGGTGTGGTGGCATGTGCCTGTAATCCCAGCTACTCAGGAGGCTGAGACAAGAGAATTGCTTGAACCCGGGAGACAGAGGTTGCAGTGAGCTGAGATTGCACTATTACACTCCAGCCTGGGTGAGAGTGAGACTCTGTCTCAAAAAAAAAAAAAAAAAAAAAAGAGAATAAGGCCAAACTTTATCCAAACACTGATGGCATACTGCCTTTATCTGTGTGTCTGTCTGTAAAAGGTCATGTTTTATGACATATTTCAATAAATTTTTTAAATTTCTCAATGTATAGAGGGGAAATGTCCTGATACTTTTCAGGCTTCTGGTTGGTATAAGAATCAATAGTGCCCAGGCTGATGGGGGAAGCAGTGTTATTGTCATCATTTTCAACCTGTACTACCAGTTTTTTTCCTTTTTCTATTCTAATGCTCAAATCTGAGGATAGCTATGCTGTTCTCTCATTTGTTCTCTTCCTCTTTCAAAATGAGAATGCTTATACACTGTTGGTGAAAATAAAAATTAGTACAACCTCTATGGAAAAATAAATAAATTAAAAATAAAAATCAAAGCAAACCCCCAAACCAACTCAAGACAGATTTTTAAGCTGCAAATTATCTTTATGCTTCTCTCTGGCTCTTCATCTTTTGTCAAAATGAACAGGCAATTTAGAGCGTGTCTCCCGCAGGGAGAATCCTGCCTAGGCCTTTGTTTAGAAGCAGTAAAGCAGCTGTGTCAGCACATCTGAATTTGCTTAAGAAGGGGAGTAACTTGCGGAATTTCCAGTTGTTACCTTGAGGATTTTCCACACTAGCAGCAGTAACAAAATGTTGTTCTAACAGATTATAATTTTAAATCAGTAAATTAGTCAATAACAAGTATCTGGGTAAAAAGGGACAACTGGAAATTAAAAATGGGTTTCATTCAGCAACGTTGCAAGCAATAAATAAAGCGAGCGCTGTTTCATTTAAAATACAATCTGCCCAGCTGCAATTACACTGCCGTTGTGGCTTGAAAGGCTGTGAAAAGGTTAGGGGATTTGATTACTAAGCTAGTTGAAATTACTAAAATCATAGCTTATGTTGGCAAGCCACAGTGGCTCCTTACACTAATCCATCTACTTTTATATTCGTTAGCCCTTATTTCTGGAGCCGGTTTCTGGCTAAGGACTTGAAATTACAGCAGTGCTATAGTAAATGAGAACACTGGCAGGACAGCCAGGGGTTCCATGGTAATAAGAAAAAAGACATAAAAAAAAAAAAACACCAAAAAAAACCCCTTCATTACTGTATTTTCCAACGAGCTGTCTGTCTCTTACTCTTGGCTCACCTGCAAATCTGTAACATGATCTGCAGACTAGTAGGGGAGTCAAACCTACATGTTGTTATATGCCTTGGAAGCAGTTATCAGTTTACCAAATGAATGTTACCAGATCTAAATGAGAAATTCTCTTGGCAGGCCATTCCCTTATTTCAAAATAGAAAGAGCTCTTAGAGTGGTTCTCACTTCGGGCTGTTTTGAAATGTGTAGGGCATTTCCGGTCATCACTACGTTGGGGTGGGGGTAGTGGTGACCATCAGCACCTGGTGGCAGGAGCCAAGGTAGTTAAATGGTCTGCAACTGAAGGCACACATGTCCCTGCCCCAAATGCCAAGAATGCCCTTGAAGACACAGTGTCCCACGAGTCAAAGGATTCTAGGAGCACGCCCTCTAGACCTGCTGGACTGAACTGATACCACCCAATGGGCAAGGCATAAAATGACAGCCCAACTCCCCTTGAGCAGGGCTTGTTCTTGAATCTAAGACTGGTGGCCTATCAAATGGACACACCTAATGTCCATCACTAGAAATGGGAATTAATGGTGTATGTTTATTGTTGATCCAAGACCAAAGACCTAGGGCCAATGACAATGACCAAAATCCAACCAGCATTCCCATAACATCAGTTTTGAACAAGTAGCACAGATAATAGTAGGACCAAGTTAAACTCTGAGTTAGCTCTAGCTAGACAATTCGATGGGGACATAACAGGAAGAAAAACCATCTGCAGCATCAAAAATAGCCAGAAATAAGGGAACCAATTTCAGTTTAATTACAGGTATAGAGATTATACAGCAGAAAAATACCAACTGACTTTCAAAAGAACTATACACTACACTGAAAAAGCCACCCACTGATTCAGCTCAAGAAATAAAGAACTGACAGAGAAATACAAAGATATGCATATTCACCTTTGATTAATCTCATTTTGCTCAAGATAATGCAATGTACAGATTCTTTCTTGGGTACAACTGAGGAGTACATGAAACAGTTGCATGGTAAGAAAAATCAATTTTGACAAAATGATCACAAAAAGGAGTATCAGATTTACAACCAAAGTCATTCCGTACATCCCCTATCCCATGATGAAGGGCATGGAAATGTAGCTCAGACGTGTGAATACTGATCTGATGTGAACAGTAAAAACTAAAGTGACAAATCAAAAGAAGGTGGGTAATGCCAATAAAAGTGCAAAAAGAAACTGACAAAAGAAAAAATTATTTGAAAATGATTATAACTCCTTATTTTGTAAGATGCGATCAATTAACAAAATCTGAACAGCACAGAACAGTACCTTTCCATCCAGCATGGTGAACTGTCTAAACTAGAGTTTCCCAGGAGAAAAGGCAGTCCCAGCACCAGTACCAAAGACAGCTATCAGCCTGGGCCCACCCACTCCCACCCACCCATTTGTGTAGGGGCCAGATGCAGGCTGAGGAGACCCTCTGGAAACACCCTTTACAGTCAATCTAATTCCTCCGCGAGAACTACAAACACTGAGTAAGGAAATCAAGGAATTAATGCCAGACTTCACGATGAAAATGGAGCCAAATAAAAGCAGCAGCCTTACCCAGGTTGTGGTCTTTGTGTTATGATCAATGAAGAAGGGCCGGCCGTTTGGCGCTATCCTCATTTCCCAGCCGGGTGGCAAGAAGCTCTGTGTGACTTTGTGTTGTGGTTTGGGGGAGTTGTAAGGTGATGGCTGTGGGGACTGTGGGTTGGAAAGGGTGTCTTTCACAGCCCGACGTACGGGTGAGTCCTTGGCACCCTAAAGAATAACAATTAGCATTAGAACTCTTCAGCAGCTGCGATTCCAATGTGCCAAAATGTACCTGGGTATTGTAGGAGGCTTCTCTTTGGAGGCGGATAAGAGGGAAGATTCCCAAAACCTGTTTTCTGTCATTCATTTACTTTTAAATCAATCTAACTTTACATTTTCTCTGTTGGATAAACACACAACAATATTAAGTACTTATAATCACCATCCTTCGGTAGCTACTCAGTATGTACCAAAAATACTGTTCTGTACTAAGCATTATGGATGGAGATTTTACAGAGTAGAGAAAAACGTGCCCTTGCTCTTAATGAGCTCACAGTCTAATGAAGAATAGATTGGCAAGTTTTAGAGCACAGAAAAGAAAAACCTACATCAATAAAGACAATGATCTGCAATCTCACAGTTGTTACCCATGACATTCATATCAGAGTGTGGAAGAGACAGCATCCATTCCCACTTATCGGCATCTGGACCCAGGGCATGGAGAAGCCCACAGTTGTCTCTAAGACACAGTCAAGCTTAGGACCTCAAACCTTTGCTCTTTGGCTTCTCTAACTCTGACATTTGTGATGTTAAAGGATGGCACCAAAACAATACAAACACAACAGAGAGCACAAGCAGATGCCCAGCCATGATGCAGATATGCAAATATGCATCAGAAACATGTATGCCCATAGAATGAAAGACCCTACAGTCGAAAGAAAAAAAATGATCAAAGCAATAGCTACGTTTAAAAACTTAATATCAGCACTTGGTATTTGAAAGACAGAATATGCAATTCTAATGAGGTAACAGGCAAAAAGAAGCGAAACACAATAAGAACGGTGGAAGTCCTGAAAAGAGAGTGCCCACGTCCAGCACAAGTCACTGCGGCCCTAGCCAAATGAGAATGAGAATCAGGTGAGAGAGTCCAGGAATGTTAACTGGGCGAGACAGAGAAGCAGGTAGAAAGGCTGCACAAGAACACCCTTCACCACCAACACAACGACTGATCAGAGAGAGGAGGTGGCTGCCAAACTGAAGGCAGAGTTAAGAGAGAAGAAAGAATGGGAGTCACAGGACAGAGTGAGTCCAGTTAGATGAGGTAGCCGTCTCACCTCCAGCGGGGCAGATAAAGTTACTGTTGGCGAGCTGAGGCTACGAGGCCGGCGGATCTGAGGCTCGATTAGATGGTTGTTACTGTTTGTGGCTGATCCAGATGCACCATCTTCTGCAAGCTATTTTGGAGGCAAAAACAAGTTAGCTTCATAGGAGGATCTCCCTGTGTGTGTGATTAGGAGTGCGAACCCAAACAACAACGCAAACAGCAATAATAAGAGGTCTGGCCTATTTAAAGCGTGGAGGAAATAATTAAACATAATGATGGGGGAAAGGATGGGGAAACACATTCAAGGGAAATAAAAATGAATCACTAGCCCAGCATAAAAACTAGCCTCAGATTAAAGGCAGGGGGTGGGGGAGTGGGGCAGGGAAGAAGCTACACACTGTAATAGGCTCTTACTTTGAAAATATCTTTCACTTCACATTTTAAAAATGTATTCAGTGATAAACTGATTTGAAAAGCAAATTCTTCCTTAGGCTATTATTGTATTTAAAGTAATGCATTTTCTTTGTGAGAAAGCTTTTTACAAATATGACTCTTTCAGAACAATATATAAACACCAGGGAGGGAGGTTGGTCATGTACATTTCGGCTTCTATGGCCTGCGGTTTTAAGTTGGATGGCGATCTTCGTACCTGCATGATAGGTCGAGTCCAAGTTGTGGTTCGATTGTTATGATTGACATAGTATGTGCGCCCCTTAGCATCTTTTCTTTCTTCCCAGCCTGAAGGCAGACCCGGCGTGGTATGTACATAGGCCACTGATGGCTGTTTGTGCAAGAAATCATTATTATTTAATACCTTGCATTTGATTTCTGATCAGTTTAATAAAATAATGTACACCCAGATAATTATTTTCTCTAGACAAAGTTAATTAGTTCTATTTACATAGAAAATACTTCCAAGTGTCTGGAAAACAGCAATAGATTTCCAATAGCTTCAAATCTACTGTGGAATGAACCCCACACAGTTGCAGATCCAAATTCTTACAGAACTTGGTTCTAACACCCCCATAGTCTTAAATGTAAAGGGTTGCTGCTAAGGTGATCATAGGGGAAGGGAAAAACATTATCATCTGTTCTGGCTACTAAATTCCACTGGCAAACCAGGTAGAGCTTAAAGGTATTTCAAACTGCCCAGTGTCACTGTGTATGAGAGGGATGCTCTGAGTTTCTCCTCGATGTAGCTCCCATGGGGTGCTCTTCTAGCTTAGTCCTAAATTTCTCCATCAGCTTAGGACCCTTACACTGTACCTTTTGGGGCAAAATTTTAAAATCCCAACACACAGCCCCTTCTCTAGGATGCTGACGGTCACACAGTAGCATATAATCTGGAGTAGCACGCAGGACATCTGGGTGCCCCAGCTCAGGAAGTCTCCCAGCACCCAGCCTCACACCCGAGGCTGTGTGCACCCAAGTCCGCTGATAGAAGTGTGTTTCTTTGAAGGCGAACACAGCTTGGCAGTCTTTGGATTTAGAGACCTGTCCAACATAGAGTGACTGTATTTAGACAGTCCACATTTGATCACAAGAAGATCCCTGAGAAACAGTCTAAGAAATGCAGTGTGGATGGAGAAACGCTGAAAAACAAGGATGTGTTGACGATGCGTGGAGGCACTGGGACAGATGCTGGAGATCAGAGCTGTCCCAGGAAGGCTTGAACGCGTAGGTGATGCATGTAAGATCTGTGCCTGCAAAACAGCTCTAAGTGGGGAAAAGCTCAGAAACCAGAAGCCGACCACAGCTACACCACGGCTCCTAGGAGAATCTAAAAGTATAGGAACCCATGCCTTAGGAATAACCTCTCATGTGAGGTTACAAAAGGAAGCTGCTTCTTTTAGCGTACTCCTCCTTTCTCTAGCCAGGATCTTCTGTCCCTCCAGATATTTTAGCAGGTGTCATTTTCTTGCTATTAGGCTGAGGATACAAATTTCCTCTGAACCCAACTTCTTCCTGTGCTTATGCCACCTCTTCCCTGCACTACCAACAATGTGTCTTGGTGAAAATGATCACTTGGAGTTCCTTGGTGGACCCCAGGATCTCAAATTAGAGAAAGCACCAACAAGGACGCTGCCAAGTAATTTGGAAACCCCATCTACAGAGAAGCAATATGCGAATCTCACAGGCTTAAAAGCACAATTCAGAGAAGGATCACCTGTGTAAGATCATGAAGCAGCTGATTTTAGATTATGCGTAAGAAAACTTTCTGCTAAAAATGTAGCAACCATTTCCTTAACATTTCCCGAGATAAAGTCCTAAAGCTCCATAAAGATAGTTTATAAAGACAGAAAGACTCAGATCATAGAGCATTCTGGATCCAGGTGTGGAGACTCAGCAGGAGCAAAAGAAACATCAACACTGACTTAATCCTTTCATGAATATTAAACATCAAGGAATTAGCACGCAGTCCTAGTGAAGCTCCTTCCTCCCCTCCCCTCTAGCAGGGATGCCAACACAAAGGGCTACGTGGATCTGGGCACCTCAATGGACTCCTCTGCTGAGCTAAGTTGTAACCCAAGTTCGTGGTCAATTAGTATATCTGGCAAAGTATGTGCTATCAAGTTTTGACTTACTATTGTTTATCCAATCAATCAAATACTAAATGGAATTTGTTACATTCTCAGGTCCCTCTTCCCAGAGCCCTCCCCTTCCAGTGATCCACCTCCCCCTCTCCCAGGCCCCTTCCCTCCCACAACTCCCTCACAACTCCCCCGTCCTGCCCCTGGAAAATTCAGCTCTGGAAACCTTAAGGATATTTTTGCAGTTACTGAATCTGGAAAGGACACTGAGGAGGCAACTGATAAACTGAACGCACTTGGATGTGTCACAGATCGTCTCAGAACTGAATCCTAAAGCTGTATGAATTCTAACCACCAGGTTACTTTGTTTTTTTCCTTTTTTTTTTTGAGACATAGTCTCGCTCTGTCACCCAGGCTGGAGTACAGTGGCGCAATCTCCACTCACTGCAACCTCTGTCTCCCACGTTCAAGTGATTCTCCTGTCTCAGCCTCCCGAGTAGCTGGGATTACACACGCGCGCCACCATGCCCAGCTAATTTTTGTATTTTTAGTAGCAGGGGGGGTTTCACCATGTTGGTCAGGCTGGTCTCGAACTGCTGACTTCAGGTGATCCACCCGCTTCGGCCTCTCAAAGCGCTGGGATTACCGGTGTGAGCCACTGCACCCGGCCATACAGGTTACTTTCATACAGCCACAGTGAACAGCACTAATCAGTTTGTGGAAAATTACGCGTGTAGTACAGAACACTGAATTTGATTAAAATGTTCATTCTCTCTTCTATTGAGAACTGAACTGGCAACCTGTAATTCAGTTACATTGATGTGAGAGGGCCATTTGGAAATGTTTCTTTACAGTGTTCTTTCCAAATGACCACAAAGAACAACCTGTGCTGATGATTTCATTTGTAGCTCACACTGCCTCCCACCCTGCGTGGCTAGTTGAGGGGGCAGGACTCAGCTTCTACAGACAGACAGACCATGGAAGGGCCCGCCACGAAGCCAAAACCAGCCTCCTGCTGTTCTATGCTTGTGAGCATGTGCCACACTAGCTTAACAAAAAAGTAATCAAGAAACCAGGCCGGGCGCGGTGGCTCAAGCCTGTAATCCCAGCACTTTGGGAGGCCGAGACGGGCGGATCATGAGGTCAAGAGATCGAGACCATCCTGGCTAACACGGTGAAACACCGTCTCTACTAAAAAATACAAAAAACTAGCCGGGCGAGGTGGCGGGCGCCTGTAGTCCCAGCTACTCCGGAGGCTGAGGCAGGAGAATGTCGTGAACCGGTGGGCGGAGCTTGCAGTGAGCTGAGATCCGGCCACTGCACTCCAGCCTGGGCGACAGAGCAAGACTCCGTCTCAAAAAAAAAAAAAAAAAAAAAGAAACCAGTTAGAAATTGCGACTTAGCTTAACATTTCACAGCTTTTCATCGTAGACTGAATACACTACTGCTTTGTGATGCCCAAAAGCCATTAGCTAGAACTTCCTAGTGGCTCTTTCATTAAAATAAAGAACATGATTGTAAGCTGCAGAAGTTTCAATATGCTTTTAAAAATAACCATTTTGATGCTGACCATCACAGATTTGCCAAGACTTGCACCAACCCTGTACTGGTGGCCTTGTGTATTTTTAGAATATATACAACAAAGACTGAAAAGACTGTGATATCCCTCTCCTTTATCTCATGGGGAGGACCCTGGCTTAGTCTGCCAGAAAGTGACACCACTGTGCATTTATTTGCCTTAAATCAAAGGGCTGTGGTTTCTTGGCTGAGAATCAGTGCCTGTTTATTAGACTACAGGAATGAAAGCACTATCATAGAAAGAAAGCTATACCAGGACGGTTACTTCAGCACAGCGTATGGAGTCAAAAGGGCAGGGTAGGGGGAGCGGAAAGTCCTTGAATTTCGGGAAATTAACATTCTAGTGCCTTCACATCACTGAATATTGTGTAATTATTAACATGTCCCAGAAGAATGACCATAAGTAAAAAAAAAATCAAGTTGCTGAGCAATGTATATACGACATCCCATTTTAAAAAAATAAAATAAAGTGGCACAATGTGTACCTATGTGTATACAGCCATATGTCTGAGAGAGCACACGCGGAGTGAGATGATATAATCCCACGGTGGCTCCAGCCCAGGACAATACACTTCAGTGTGAGTGACGGGCAGAGGAACAGAGGGGATACCGAAGAGGGAAACACGGGGTGAAGAGACAGAATTGCAAGACAGAAAGTCAAGGGCATTTATGACAAAGGATGGAAGAGAATACCATACAAACAAGAATACCATAAATTAACCTGTGGAAGAGAAACATGCAGGATACAGCTGAAGAGAAACGGATGTGGTCCTTTCAAACCTAACTAGGCAGGGAGATCTATCTCTTCTACCAGAGTAGATGAAACACTTAGGAACGAATATTGCCAAGCCTGCGGGAAGAAAAAACCCAACCCATGCTGAAACTCAGTGACGGGGAGGGGAGAGTGCAGGCAAGAAGGCAAGAAAAGGGCAGTCTAAAGTGCCACCCGTGATCTCATTCAGAGGGGTCACCTTGTCCTGCCAGGTGACCCTTGCCATGGAGCTTGGTACTGCAATGATTCCATTCACACTTCATTTACTACATCAGCTACCACAACTCTCCAAAGCTACAAGCAGGTTGCAAGGCCAACAAAATACAAAAATAGGTGATATACAGATGATGTTCATCAGCACTGAATTCTACTAAAATTACTTCACAAAATGATCTTGTCCCCCTCGAAGCTCCACTACTCCCACAGAAATTGTAAGTGCACAGTGGGAAATAGTTCATGTAGAATTTCTTGAATTCTACTGGAGGCTGCCTCACTCAACACATGATTCACGTAAACCACTGTAGCTCAATACCTTAACCTGAGCTGAGTGTTCTGGGGCTGACTGTTGCCAGTTTGAATTTCCCCTGTACAATGCTGAGCATTAAATTGAAGTCATCAACATCTTTTAGAAAATCAGCAATTGTATACGTAAAGCTATCCACAAGTAACGAGCAGTTACAGCAAAATACAACACAGGTGAAACAATAAGGAAATTCTTTAAACAGCAACTGCAGTGCAAAGCATAAACTACAAGCTAGCCTAACTTCAGGGATCAAGTAGAAAACAGGCAATTAAAATACATGGTCAAATCTAAGTCACCCACAAACAAGAATACCATAAATTATTCAAAATAATGAATAAGAATGGTTGGCTTACAGAAACATCAATTTTTCTAGATCACATATATCTTAATTATGCTCCCCTGGTATGGAAACTTGTTCATTCCTGTGAGGAGATGCCCTGGTGGCAGAGAAAGGGTCACTGGTACATTCTGGAGACAAGAAAAGTCTAACCCCCTGTTAGAAATGTGGTAGGGGAGATACAGAAAAGAGAATGGCCCTGGGCACACCCAGAAATCACACTCAGTCTCATGCAATTCCTGTAGCTTTTCTGATTATCTTCCAACCAAATTATTTTGACCACGCATTCTAATGAAAAGGAAAAACTTATCAGGAGTACAAACACTTACAGCCAAAAATATCTTCTAAATGGTCAAGTTAAACGCACTTAACCAAAGCCTGATGGTATTCCTAAGAAAATTATGTGGAACTAAAAAATCATTCTATCTTACCCAGTACCTTTAAATAATCCCAAAATGAGAAGCTTAAAATAAGAAATGTGCGCAGCTTTGTAGCACAAAGGAGCTAATCTTATTTTTAAAAAGAGCGTATATTCACCACTACATGAAATATTAAAACTGCCCCACAGCCTCTTGCCATTGATGTCTGATAAAGTGGATCATTACCGTTGGTTCCTCACCACCCGTGACAGTTGATGAACGTGCTCTCCTAGCTGGGGCACTGGGCTGTGAATGATAATTTACATCAGTAAAATGCACTTAGGGGATGACCCACGGCTGTCTGAATCAGGGACCACTGCTGTGGCAGCGCTGTAAGGCAGGTGACATGAGATCAGAATCCCTGAAACCCACTCTGTCCAGACAAAGCCGTGCAGTCGCTGATGACCAGTAGCACAAAGGAAGCTGACCCCTATGCCACCCGAGGTGGCTCATCCTTGATCTGGGTAAACAATGACAACCTCAAAAGAGTGAGCTGCCTTAGAGAAAAATGGAAAGCAGGTCTGGTTTTGCCCCCCATTATCAAATAATTAGCAGATTCTAAAATCCGCCAACACTCAAAACTCAAGAGGCCACTGGTGATCAGTGAGTTTACAGCATCACAAAGTACAAAGAAAGAGGGAGGAATCACCAGCTTCCAGGAAAGTGAGCTCTTTGGGAAATAAAATTGACATTGATTTGGAAAAGGAGAGAAAGTGCCATTCGTTCAAGGAAAATCACAGATCATGAGGCTGAGAAGGATCCCACCAGTCCGTCTCAGTTAATTATTTTGTTTGTGGGGCCCTGTACTGAAACCATCCCAGAAAAGAAGCTCTTCTCAAGCTTATTATTAAGCCTCTCCAGCATAAGTCACAAATGACTCGATTATTTTGGCTGCTTCCTTGACTAGTATAGTCATTAATTTTTTCTCAAACATAAAAAATGAAAACCTAGGCCGAAATATCCTTTGAAGTCAAGAAAAAACATACACGAGAGGGAAGACACTGTGATTTCAAAAACCTTAAATGCACTTTTCCCCCTTCAAAGTCATACATAATACATTATTAGTCTTAAAAATGATCAAGGTTTTATAGCAACAGACAAAAACTGTCAAGGTAAAATATCAAATTGAACACGTTAAAACCACGTATTTTCACCTCCAAAAGAAGAAACAAATTTATGTAAAATTTCTTATTTTTAATGTATACATCAAACATCTCTCAAGGCAGTTCTAGTCTACCTTCCAACTTGAATATTTATTTTTACATACATCAGATGTTACAAAATTCCCTACACTTCTACATTTGCTGATAGCTATTAAAATGATGAGAGAGTTGGAAAGAATTACAGCCAATTCCTGGTGAGCAGAGCTGCCTTTAAAGAGAAGGTACAGAGGCTCTGTAGAGTTCAGACTTCAGGTCATTAGGAAGGGAAAGGAACATGTGGATGGTCGCCCAGAAGAGTTCTTCCCGGTTAAAGGGACTCGTGTTTTCAAAGTACAGATCACTGGAGCATAACTATAGTAACTCAGTAAAGTAAAAGGAATTACGAATGTACCAAGAAGTTTAAGTGAGCAAATCAAAATTGGTATAAATTTGGGTGAACAACTAAAGCAGTGAAGGTTCCAGCATTTTAGAGATGGGTGGCAGTAACAATTCTCTGTACTGGAAATCCACTTTCCTAGGGCAATTTGCCAGGAAATTTAAAAACATCTCATTTATATGGTAAATAAATTTACACAGGAAAAACTCTTTTTGCAGCAGCCCAGATGATTGTAAATGAAAGCCCAAAAAGTTAACTGATGACTGGAAATTAGCATGGGTTACCGGTGGTAGATGGCCCTGTTCTGCAACCGCATCGGTGACACTGCATGACCTCAACCTTGAGGAGGGTTCTCTTTGCTGGAAGGAGAGGAAAAGACAGGAAGCATCAAGAAATGTATTCTTAAAAGCAACTTTCATTGGTTTAACAAATACATCACTCAACCATATTCACCGCTCTTCGATATTAGAAGGTAATTAAACGAAACATCTTTTCAGAGCAAGGACAGTCATCCTTGAAAAAGTCATCTTCCACTTTAATTTTCAGTTAAGCAGACTGGAATTTTGATCAGTCCTTAGAATTAATGGCAAAAATAAGAGGAGACCAAAACTTTCGGAAGGAGACTCAACAGGACTCTGCAACACTCGAATGCTGCTTTACAAACAGGAAGAAGCTAGCAGTCTTGTCGTTTGCTTTAAGATGCACCCTCCAGGTAAATTTTAATGTGATGTGAATAGAGGGAAAAAGAGGAAGAAATAGTGATATGTGGCTACCCACATTTATTGATTATTACAATTGACAAAGAGTCAGTTGTATCCTATATTCAGAGGAGCTCAGATACCATCTTGGCCTACTTCTGAAAGATCTGGTATTTATAATTTTAGCTGCTGCTGCTTCTTTTTTTCTTGAGACCGAGTCTTGTTCTACTGCCCAGGCTGGAGTGCAGTGGCGTGATCTCAGCTCACTGCAACCTCTGCCTCCCAGGTTCTAGCGATTCTCCTGTCTCAGCCTCCTGAGTAGCTGGGACTACAAGCCCCCGCCATTACACTCGGCTAATTTTTTATATTTTTAGTAGAGATGGGTTTCCCCATATTGGTCAGGCTGGTCTCGACCTCCTGACCTCAGGTGATTCACGCACCTCGGCCTCCCAAAGTACTGGGATTACAGGCGTGAGCCTCCATGCTCAGCCAATTTCAGCTTCTAAGCGGACTTCAAGTAGCAAAGACAGGAATAATTAAAAATAGTGAGATCAAGCTAAAATAAAAAAAGATACAGTGTGTAGTGTCTAATATTCCTCTCACTTGTTTGTATTAGTCTATGTGGTTAAATGAAGCCTAACTGACAGGAATGAAGATTAGCAGCAGGTCACACACAGAGGCCAGAGTCTCCTTATCAGCAAGTTTATCCATGGTATCAATTTCTAGTATTCACTCATTTTTAATATTTTGTGATAAGTAAATGGTACAAGAAGACTCTGTGGTAGGGATGGGGGACAATTCACATCTTTCCACACTGGTTACTGTGAAAGAATCAGTCTTGAATAAAAGTGTCACTGTTGCTCAGGCTGGAGTGCAGTGGCGTGATCTTGGCTCACTGCAACCTCTGCCTTCCGCGTTCAAGAAATTTTTGTGCCTCGGCCTCCTGAGTAGCTGGAACTACAGGTGCACCCCACCACACTCAGCTAAGTTTTGCATTTTTAGTAGAGACAGGGTTTCACCATGTTGGCCAGGCTGGTCTTGAACTCCTGACCTCAGGTGATCTGCCTGCTTCAGCCTCTCAAAGTGCTGGCACTACAAGCATGAGCCACTGTGCCCAGCCAAAGCTCAAGTTCTTGCCCTTGAATACAGAGTAATCCCGATAAGCAAATATCCTATTTGACTCTCATTTAACAGTGAACACGATGTGAAAATAATACGATATTGTATTTGGGTCTTAAGGATATTTCATGCATCTAGAATAATTAAATGCAGGAGCTCCCCATTCAAAGAACTAGAATTGCTAACTTACTAATGCTGAAGAAAATTACGATGTTTACTTGGTTTACTAAAGGTGTGTTACTGCCATGGATTCTGCAGTACCTCCTTGGTTTTACAGGTCTTAAAAACAGGGCTTCATTGTTTATGTTGTTTCTATAACAACAGTTTTACCAATTCAAATATCCCATATATATGCAATCTCTTTTATCCTGTCCATTTAGTACTACATTTTCACCTTGGCGACACATCTCTTTTTGAAAAAGTCACAGAATTTTAATGTGAAATCACATTAACTGAATGACAAATGCAATTCATGTAATAGAGGCCTATAGTGTCTTTTAAAATAAAAACACCATAATCAAAAGTAACAATTTGTGAGTACTTATTTGCTTTTACATTGCATGCAGTGCTATCATTTCTGTTGGTTATGGTCACAGTAATGATTACTTTTTTTAGGATGCTATTTTCAGTGGCGTGACTACCATCATCTACTATTGCCACACCTTTTTTTTTTTGAGATGGAGTCTCGCTCTGTCCCCCAGGCTGGAGTGCAGTGGCCGGATCTCAGCTCACTGTAAGCTCCACCTCCCAGGTTTACGCCATTCTCCTGCCTCAGCCTCCCGGGTAGCTGGGATTACAGGCACCCCCGCCACCTCACCTGGCTAGTTTTTTGTATTTTTTAGTAGAGACGGGGTTTCACCGTGTTAGCCAGGATGGTCTCGATCTCCTGACCTCGTGATCCGCCCGTCTCGGCCTCCCAAAGTGCTGGGATTACAGCCTTGAGCCACCACGCCCGGCCTTATTGCACACCTTTAAGTTCAGTTTCTTGAGAAACACTGAGACTTCATTTGCTCTTAATTCTAAGCATAAGCAGGGATTTTCTATGGGTTATTTCTGCACAGTTTTGTACTGTCAAACATGGAAGTCTTTGGGACTGATTCCACTGGGCTCAGGCATTAAGCCCATCTGAAGCTTCTAGAAAGTATGTTTCTGATGGTGGAGAGCCCAAGTTAAAATGCTACCTTGATGACAGTGTCACAATTTCACAACCTTTCTCAAGGTTCATATTCTGGGACTTAGGAGATGTCTTCTATCTCCCATTCAAACCTTGTTTTGGATGAGCCACTTAAGCATCATGCCCTTATCAGCGAAATGAGAATGATAAATCCTGCAGAATATGACTTAAGAGGACTGATTAGGCCTGATGGCTTTTAACTGTTACTGTGAAATACTACCTTTGTGATAAAGGTACTATTTTCATGAGCCTTTTGGCTGGGAAAGGAATTCTACAAGGTCAAAGCTAATAATTACAGACATCATGAAGTTTTACTTCTTTGCGTTCTTTATAAACCAAGAAAGTGTTAGTGGTATAGGGGTGAGCAAAGCTGCCTTCCAAATTAAGAAAGATTCTCACCTGCTGGGGCTAATTTTAGTGTAGTCCTGCTTCTCCTAGGGAAGGAGGAACTTTGGAAAATGTCAGAGTTAGCTGGGAGCTGGAAGACCCTTGGTCACTATTTACATAAGAGATTCTCCTAAAGCAACAAAAAACAATAAAACATTGCTCAGCTTTTCTTTCAAACAAGGCCACTACTTACAACCAAAGAGCTGAACTGTTCCCCATTGGAATCTGGAGTGATCTGAAGCCTTCTGCTCAGTTCCTCTGACAACTCCTGAGGGCTGGTCCGAGATCCTGGGGAGGCCGGTGGTGGGGGCAGAGCCAGACCGAGAGAGTCTCCAGCGATATTCACTTCCTCTGAAATGGTCTCCCAAGGCTTTCAGAGAAAGAGACACTGGGGTAAACGCTAGGAACTGGGAATCCACCCAGCTCCCCAACAAAGCTATGTAACAACAATAGCCATGGTGGTAACTACAATTAACACCTACTAAGTGCCTCTCATGAGGTACACAACCTTCACAATCATCATGAGGAAGACATGACTCCTCCCCCAATTAACAGATGAGGAAACTGAGGCACAGAGAATAACTTGCCCAAGGTAACAGCTAGCAAGTGGTAGGGCCATGATGTGAATCAAAGAGGCCTGGTTCCAGACAGAGGCTGTGCTCTTACCCACTTTATAACACTGCCTCTCTGAACAGTGACTGATTTCCAGCACTTGTTACTATATGTGTGGGCAAAAAACCAAACACACACACATGCTTCTCGGGAGCTTACAAACAATTGTCATGGATTTTCTTTACTTTTAACCACTGAGGATTCACCATGACGGCAGTATAGAAGCTATATGCTGTAATTAAACAACGGTATAAAATATAACTTAGAGTGAACGTATTATGGAATCATTACTTTTGCTTTTCCAAGTTGAATCACTGCATTTGTGAATGACCTTCCTAACACAATGTCTAAGAAGAATGGATTTTTAGTATGTAAACAGAGCTGATAAGACAGCATGGAAGATTATGGCTAATCTGTTGTTTATTTCATAACGTTTTAAGTAACATACCGTAACTATTTAAAGGGAAAATTACACATTTCTATTCACCTAAATTTATATTTTCATGGTAACAAATCTCTTTCAAGTGTCAAAGCGACTCAATAAAAATATGCATATGATACCCAAACAAGTTACAGGGCTCATTCGATAGCTCAACTATGATAAAAACAAGTTGTCATTTAATGAGACATAGTTAGACCCTGGTGAAAAATAAATTACAAAGTAAAAATATCTTAAGATTTTCATACTGAAAAATAATGTGGGCTGGACGCAGTGGCTCACACCTGTAATCCCAGCGCTTTGGGAGGCCGAGGTGGGTGGATTATGAGGTCAGGAGTTCAAGACCAGCCTGGCCAACATGGTGAAACCCCGTCTCTACAAAAAATACAAAAAAAAAAAAAAAAAAGAAAAAAAAAAGAAAAAAAATTAGCCAGTGTGATGGCATGTGCCTGTAATCCCAGCACTTCGGGAGGCTAAGGCAGTGGGCGGATCACAAGGTCAGGAGATTGAGACCATCCTGGTCAACATGGTGAAACCCATATCTACTACAAATACAAAAACTAGCCAGGTATGGTGGTGCGTGCCTGTAATACCAGCTACTCAGGAGGCTGAGGCAGGAGAATTGCTTGAATCCAGGAGGCAGAGCTTGCAGTGAGCTGAGATTGCACCACTGCACTCCAGCCTGGGAGACAGAGCAAGACACTGTCTTAAAAAAAAAATAATGAAAATAATGTTATTTCCATTTCTATCAATATAGAACCACATATCCTTGTCAAATACGACTTTTAGAGTCACTTTCAAGTTAATTAATATCCAGCTGGTAATTAATTCACTGCGTCACTGTAATCTTTACATTCTCAACAATGTTTACTGAGAGAAGAAATTATGATATAAAATCAAGCTGGAGAACATGGAAAGAAGGAGCTGCCGGGCTTTGCGGCATTCTGGTGACATCGTACCTCGGGGACATCCCCGCCCTCCGAGGGCTCGGGCTCCAAGTCCTCACTGATATGCCTGCGGGAGCGGAAGCGACGGTGCGCTGCCTCCTGGTTGATCTGTCTGATGTTATTGTCCGACTCGGAGGACACGTCCCTGAGCACGCGGGAAAGGGGGAAGGAGAAGAAGAGAAGCGGTTGAGATCGGGCCCTTCATGACAGTCCAATGCGCATGGAGGGCCAGATGCCCACTGAAGTGTCAGCATCAAACACTGACAACTTAGCAGGTCATCCAATGTGAGAATTCTGCCACCACATCATGGCTAAAATAGGTGAAGGTTCACTGCAATCCAATACATGCAGTTTTAAAACGCATTAGTCACACCGTTCTGAGCATCTTCCAGGTATGGATTTCAAAATATACCTTAGTGTTTAATAAAAAACAGAAATCAAAGTCCTCCGCCCATATGCCAAAGTGACAAGTCAGGCCTCTGGGAGCAGAGGTGACAGGTGAGTTCACACAGCAGCTGGGCAGTCCCAATCCTTCTAGAAATCCAGCAATCACAGGGCAGCTACTTTTGGTCACCAGCAATTTGACCAAAGACTACAAAAGGTACAAATTCAAAGCTGTCATCTGGAGGGAAGTATACCTGATCCAACACGAATTTTTTTCAGCTGCTTTCTAGCTCATTTTGACAGAATCTCAAAATCGTGACACTGCATTTCCCCCCTTTACCCTACTTTAAAAATCCTAATAACATCAGGAGATAACCTCTCTAGTCAGCCGGGGTCTGAACACTGCAACATCATACCCTATTTTTTGTCACATGATGCTCTCAATTCAGGATCTAAAAGTTTTGATTCAATTTGGAAAACTTTTTTGGGCTGGGCGTGGTGGCTCATGCCTGTAATGCCAGCACTTTGGGAGACCAAGGCGGGTGAATCCCTTAAGGTCAGGAGCCCAAGACGTGCCTGGCCAACATGGTGAAACCCCGTCTCTACTAAAAATACAACAATTAGCCGAGTGTGGTGGCGTGTGCCTGTTAGTCTCCGCTACTCAGGAGGCTGAGGAAGGAGAATCACCTGAGCCCGGGAGGTGGAGGTTGCAATGAGCTGAGATTGCATCACTGTACTCCAGCCAGGGCAGCAGAGTGCGACTCCTTCTCAAAAAAAAAAAACAACACACAAACTTTTTTTTTTGCACTAAATTATAGGCAATCGTAATCATACTTTGGGGGAAAATACTAGTCAGAGGCTTTTAGTGTACAAGTTTAAATGCCAAAAAGTTTTTCAGGGAAAACTCTCACAGACACTTTCAATAAGACAGTATATCCCATTAACAAAAATTATGTCACAAGTTAGTATCTCAAAAGTTGAAATCTTTATTTCAGACTAATTGAAATATACTACTTATCAAGAACACTCATTATAGACTCTTTCTAAAACACGAATTTTAAAGTTTTCTCACACATTCTGAAATGAACTTATACTATATCCCAATAAAGAGCCTGCCAGCAGAGGTTGTGGTGGAAACTCTTGTTCCTTAACTAACTTTCCTCTTGCCTTCTAGAAGTCATGCCCGTTGGAAGCAGGCGCTCCTCAGGTTCTGCCAAGTCCTGCTGTGTCCTTTTTGGCTCAGCCTCTCCCTTTGACATTGCTGCCTCACTGATAGGGCAGTTACGCCTCTGCCTTCTCCCAAAACTACATGTGAACCCGAACTTGGATTCAGAGCTGCATTTTTTGGCTGGGCACGGTGGCCCACACCTGTAATCCTAGCACTTTGGGAGGCTTTGTCTTGGCTGCTAGGCAGCTCAGGTGAGCGGAGTTTGAGATCAGCTTGACCAACATGGTGAAACTTCCCATCTTTATAAAAATACAAACATTAGCCGGGCATGGTGGTGGGCGCCTGGAATCCCAGCTACTCAGGAGGCCGAGGCAGGAGAATTGCTTGAACCTGGGAGGTGGAGGTTGCAGTGAGCTGAGATGGCACCACTGCGGGTGACAGACTGAGACTCTGTCTCAAACAAACAACAGAAAAAGAACTGCATTTTTCCCTTGTTGCTCTAGACTAGTGAAGAGCCAGCAAGTTATACCTTTTGTTTTAGTTTCTGGGACACTGTCACCAAAGATGGTTTCTCTTTTAAACCCCTTTTTGAGGTCTTGTCAACACACTAAAAAGCTGTTCATGTTTAATGCACACCCCTTGATGAGTGTGGGGACGTGTATACACCTGTGGAGCCATCAAAAAAATAGTATATATTTAAAAATGTAGGAAGTGTTTTCTCCAGAATTCCCTCATTAGTTTCACAACTTAGTGAGGTAGAGAAAGTAGCAATTATCCCCATTTGTCCCCAAGATACAAACTCCAATTTGCATGATCCTTATTTATGAAGTTGAATATTTTTCCATATAGGTATTAGCTGTCAGAATTTTTTCCTTTGTGAGTTGCTCCTAGCCACTTTTCTGCAGAGGTCGCATAAGGACCTACCTTTTCAGGTAGTTCTTTCTCATGCTGTTGAGCAAAGGTAGACAATGGTGCTTTGCTTAGGATATTGCTGCCAAGATTCTTCTAGTCACTACATGTAACCAAGCCCAAGGTGGGTCCAAATTCATTTTTACTACAAATAGCTACGATGGATTACAACAATTCTAATAGCTATGGGCATTAATCAAAAGGAAATAGTAAGCAATAATATAAAAAACAAAAAGAATCCACCAAACTATTTCCATGGAAAAAAATTTTAACAAAAGATAGTTCAGCATTACGCAGCTGCTCTGATATTTTTGCTGTCCTGAGACTATTGTGCTGTCTTGAGCGAATGCCCACGCTGGGTCGTCTAAAGCTGATCACGAACGGCTGATATTCACGAGAACCCACCTGGGGGCTCAGGGAAGACAGGCTATTTGTTGTTCCAGATTCTGTGAGCTTTATCTCTAAATTAAACAACACCTAGACCAGAAGACTTGGCCACCCTCCCCAACCACCGTCATATGTAGAGTATCTTCGCAATTTCTAAAGATAAAAGGTTTTTAAGAACATGATACCTCATACTGCTTGTTGTCTAAAATGCATTATTAGCCAATTTCTTTCAGAGTTCGAGTAGACAAGAAAATTATACTATCCTGTAGACTTGCTTTTATTACATACTGAAAGTTATATAGTTCATTGATAATTTCCTCCTTGTCTTGGCTGCCAGGCAGCTCATAATTTCTAGGATAAAATTCCTTTTCCTTACGACTTTGTTTTTGCCCTTTGATGTATTATCAATAGACTTAGATCTTGTTACATAAAATGATTTAAAAACAAGCTGCTACAAAACCATTTTTAAAGTCCATGAGTTTTAACCAGTGTTTATTTGCTATCAATCAAACCGCAAATTGCTGAGGGAACAAAACAGGAATTGGTTTACTGCATCCCTGAGGCTGGTGAGGGATTAAAATACACAGTAATTACTAATTCTGATTTTGCAACTCTGCCATGTGTTTCTGATTATATTAAGAAGGTAACATTTCCTTAAAAAAAAATTTTTTTCTGAGGTTTCCAAATCAACACTTTGAAGAGAGTAAAAATCCAAAAACTTAGAGAAAACAGAAAATTGCAAAGCCAATTTGCTTGCTGGTTCTGTTCTGGGTCAGTTAGGAGAGAAACGTGAAGAAGAAAACAATATAATCAACAAATGTAAGATAAGTCTAAGAAAAACAACCTCTGCTTTGTATTTCAGGAATCGACATAAAAGAATACATAGAAAATAAATCAGCTCACATTGAAAATAGCAGCATGTGACTCAAAGGCAATTGCTTACAATATACAAAGTCTGACTGCTCTTGCATGCTTTACATAAATGGAGAGGAACCTCGTACCACACCACCATCTGCTCTTATTGACATATGATTTATTTCCCAGCCTTGTCCCAGAGGGCCGCCATATTTGTCCCTAGCTGTGCATGTGCACGTGTTCCTGACCATCACATGGTACTCACATCAGGCTTGGTCGGTGCCACTGAGTGGTCCGGTTGTTGTGGTTGACATAGTAAGTTCGGCCTAAATTGTCCACTTTTTCTTCCCACCCGGGAGGCAGAGGAGGAGGAGGAAGTTCCTCTTGGTGCTGAGAAGCCGAGTCATTTGAGTCAACAACTTCCCATCCATGCTGTGGAATAAAGTAAGAGGGATGATTATGAGGTTGGTTCTTCGGCTGTGAGGAAGAGGTCATCACAAGGGCAGCAAGGAGAAGCCCTGTGTGCCCTTCTCCTTGCTCTGGGGCTCTCTGGCTCTAGCCATGGCTTCGGGGACACATTTGAGTAAATTCCCAGTTGAAAGCCAAAAAAAAAAAATAATCAATTCTAGAAACACCTCAAAAATCTTTTGAGTAATGGCCAATTAATTGTGCTGCCCTCTAAGATGACTACATTGCAGGACAACATGATTTGGATCTGCACAGCTGGTGACACTACTTAAGTCACATCATACTCTTCCTATATGTCATGTTTGTTATTTTGACTTGAGGGCCTCCAAGGCTGTACAAAGCCCTGCCAATGATGCGGGTCACATTACAGCTGTCATCTTTTCAACACCTCCATGAGGTAAAGGGAGCAGGGAAGATGAGCTGCGCTGCACCTGTGTTCTAACAGAAATCATGGCGCAGGGGACCAGAGGCCCGGAGCCCTGTTGCTCCCCAGGGAGGCGGGCTTTGAGAGAGAAGCCTCCTCTTTGCATCCCGAACAACCGCAGGAGCCAGGAGTCTGAAAGCTGCCGCTTTCTACTCAGGCCCTCTATACTGGCTGTGTCCACTCCACACCAATGGGTTTCATGGTACCAAAATTCGAGTTCCATTTTTACAGCACATATTTTAGGCATTACATATTTGCTTCCTAACATCCTCTGCTAAAATCACTGGAAAATTAAGTAATTCACTGGTTACTGCAGTTGGAAGGCAAGAAGAGTGCAAAAAATTCCTTGGATTTGAGATGAAAATCTGTTGACGTGCTTAAGAAATGTTAACATTCATAAATTTCTACCACCCACATTATTCCTCTTCATGTATATATAGAGATGAAGGCTTGGAAATGAAATAATGCCTGGAAATATGATCGCTGAGGCGGAGGGGTGTTCGGGTAACTTCTCCACCACACAGTATTCACATATCACATACATGCAACAGCTGCAAACAGATGTGAGAATAAGCCCTAGAGAGGTCTCATTTAATGGACACTTTGAGAATATGAGAATTTGTCTAACAAAACAGCACTGTCCGAGGCGTGTGCTGAAAAGGTATGCTAGGACCCACAGCATCAGTCTGTGACAAGGTAAATATGGGCAGCTCTGTCGGCAAGGAAAAAAGGGACATCCTCTGGTCAGCTCATTCCAGAATGGCATTTCTAGAGGAGGGTTTTTCTACTGCAGGCTGTCACCTGTGGCCAAATGAGTAAGAAACTTGGAAAAAAGTGATTTTCTGAATTCCTTCACCCACTTTGAAGCAACTTCAATGGCTAAAAGGAATTTACAAAGAGCTGCAAGTCCACAGCAATAACAGAATTCAATGCGTGAGGAGACTTCCACGGAGCTGGGGGGCTAACATTGGGGAATGGGCATGGCATTGTCTAAAGAGAAATCTCTCAGAAGATTCGTGCTGTAACACAAAAAGTTCATCTTTAACCAAAACAAATAAATGCACTGGTAGACTATCAATGACTAATTTGCGGACATATGTACTTTTTTTATATTTAAGTTTTCTAAACTTTTATTTCCTTCAATTATAAAGTTTGAAAGCAAAACATGAATATGATCTCAAGGCAAGGAGAGAGGCCTGACGCCATCCACGTACCTCCATGTCGTCCCTCTGGTCGCTGTTTTCTTCATCTTGACCTCCATTTTTTGGCATATAGGCCATTTTCAGTCGCAAAAATCCCTTAACTCGAGACTTATGACTGAATGCATAACGGAAGAAAATTGGTAAGAAGGGGTGTGACTTGAAAGGCTACACTTAAAATCGTCTTCAGCAACAGTCAACCACCACAGCACGCAGGGCAGGCACCCCCACCCACCCATACCCACAGCACGCAGGGCAGGCATCCCCACCCACCCACACACGCAGGCAGGCATCCCCACCCACCCATACCCACAGCACGCAGGGCAGGCATCCCCACCCACCCACACCCACAGCACGCAGCGCAGGCATCCCCACCTATACCCACAGCATGCAGGGCAGGCATCCCCACCCACCCATACCCACAAGCCTCACCTTCTTGGTCTGAGGAGAAAGTCCTTAAACGTATAGGGTCGCTCCATGGTTGGATCTTCGGTCTGTGGGGAAAAAACAATAAATTAAGTTTCAATATTCCCGATAACTTCATGTTTTAGATACACCCAACTGGATCCCAGAGAATAGATTTTGGATTTTCGAATGTGGCACCACAGAATGTGGTTCTTCACCTGGTACCTGACGGTCCACGGAACTGATCTACTGGAGATCCACTAGATGTCACTATCCACACCGGGTTTTAGAAGCCAGCCCCAGCCACAGACAAATGACAAAATTATAGCTGTCATTGCCAACTATAATTTCTAACTGCAGGGTGTGGCCTCAGTCGCACAGAGCTGATTAACTTCGGAGAACCAGCGGTCACTGGTGGGTACCCTGCTATATGCCTGTGACTCGAGACACATACGAGTGGAGTAAACAGAAGAATATACAAGATTTAATCTTTGAGGGCAACTTTGTTTTTTGCATTAAAATCTCACATCATCAGCCTAAGAGAATTGAAAGACTATCTCCTGCACAGAGATCACCCCAGGAAGCAGCACCGATCGACCTTCCGCTGAGGTTTAGTTCATGAGGCTATGAGTACAAGTAGGGTATTTGTTCATTTTTAAAGAAATCGGTGTTCATTTGATTGTGCGAAGTTGGTTGGCCTACCAAAGCAGGAAACTGGAAAAATAAGTGTGACTATTTCATTAATCTTAAAATACTATATATGCAGTAAAACCTCAAATACCTAGACCCTTCAATTAAACACAATTTCAAATACTTTTATAGTAAGAGATAAACCACAGTCCAGTGATTTACTATATCAGGTTTGTGTGTGCATGCATGCACACATGTGTATGTACGTATGCGCTTCTATTTGAAATGTTATCTGTTTATGTCATTCTCTGCTTTCAACTCTCAATGGGTTCTTACTCCTCTCATAATAAACTGGAAATTCTTTCCTGTGACCTAGAAGGCCAACTATAATCTGGCTTTGAATCACCTTTAATCTCATTGGGAACCAGTCTCTCTCTTCCTTCCTTGTACTCCCAACCATCCTGTCCTCATCTGCCATGGATGCAGATTGTATGTCCTGCAGAAGGGCCGATGCACAGGCAGGTCCCTCTGCTGGACAACTCTGACTCCAGATGGCATGGCTGTTTCCTCTTGGCATCCAAGTAGGAGATCCCAGGTCACATCCTCAGAGTTCCCACCATCAGCCACCCTTATCACCCCCCTAGCCTATCGTCCTGCTGTAGCTTCCTCGTATCACTGTCTGAAAGTGCGTGTTCATTTCTTGACGTATTAGTTTATCATCCATCACTTCCAGAATGTGAAGAGACCATGAGAACAGAGACTTGAATTTGCTCACCGTTGGATCGTTGGTGCCAAGAATATTGCCTGGCACAAAGTAGGTACTCATGTAAGCACTCAGTTCAACTGATCTGTAGTAAACTACGGAGGTTCTCAAAATTCACTATCGTTGAATGAAGTAAATTATATTTTCTAGACTGTTCTTATGAGGCAGTAATAAGCATACATTTTGAAAATATTTTCTACCAAAAGGTTTGTAAATATATATAAGGAAATAAATGGAAAATTTATTAAGAAAACTATTGCTGGTTTTCCTTTCTTTTTTCATTTATTTAGCCAACGTTTATTTATTTAATTTAGAGACAGGTCTTCTTCTGCTGTCCAGGCTGGAATACAGGGGCACAATCACAGCTCACTGCAACCTCGACCTCCTGGGCTCAAGTGATCCTCCCACCTCAGCCTCCGAAGTAGCTGGGACCACAGGTGTGTGCACTATGCCTGGCTAATATTTTTATTTTTTATAGACATGGGGGTCTTCCTATGTTGCCCAGGCTGGTCTCAAACTCCTGAGCTCAAAAAAATCCTCCTGCCTTGGCCTCCCAAAGTGCTGGGATTACAGTTATAAGCCACCATGCCCTGTCAACCAATGAATAATTTGAGAGCAATATTATGTGAATGCCATGTGGATACAACATGGTATACCAGCCCTTATGGTTACAATTACAAGGGAAGAGCCATTGTGTCAACAATCCACTAGAAGCTAAGGCAGAACAAATTCACTGACATAGAGAGGTGACATTCTGTGAGACTTGGGGTACAGTGAAGACGCTGACTCTGACTTGGAAATCAAAATGATTTTGGATGTGGAGTCAGATACAGGGTGACGGGAAGGCTTTGAGAGGTGGAGAATTGGGAGAAAGGACAGTTTAAATATAGGAAATCAAACAATATGACAAAGCCTACAGGATCACCAGTGGGCATGAGCCATCTAAGAGCAGCAGAGAACATGCAAGAGAGTGAAGAGGGAAAACCATGGAGCTTGGAGGGACTCTGAACGTGAGTCTGTCCATGCCCTGTGCAGCTTGAATGACTGATGCCACACAGGTCAAAAGGCAGATATCCCAGGTTTGCGTCCTGGCTTTGTTACTTACAGAGCCGAGTGGCTAAGGGCAAGTTCCTTACCTCATGGCTCAGTGTCCTCATCTATAAAATGGGGCTGTAACCGTATCTTACAGGGCTGTTGTGAGGATCAAACCAATCAACTGAGTTGGTTTCCATAAAGTTCTCAAGGGCACCTGGCACACTCAGCAAACACTGGCCATGTTCATTGGCCAATTCTACATGTTCATGTCACTTGTCAGTACTGCCAACTCAATGCCAAGCAGTAACAGTTAGGGCATTAAAAATGAAAGTTCACCTTCATGGAAATTCTCTAGCCTGAATTAGAAGATGATCTTATAGATAACTACAAGATTCTTCTTGGCATTCATCCAGGTTCCAACCTGATCCTGTTCCCTGGAGCAGAGGCGAGTGGAGACTCCCAGGATGGCATTGAGGGTGCTCCTCGGGGAAAGCCATCTTCAACAGACTGCTGCAAACAGTGCTATTGGCCCCAATAGCCACAATGTTGCCCCTGTTCCAGGGTAAAAGCACTCAGAAGAAAATCTGGATACACAGTACTTTCATCTTGAAAGAGAGTAGTTGCTTTCAGCCTAGGTGTACTCACTATGGAATGGAGTGAAATAAAGGATTCTGCAGGCAAACGGAAGGAGAGAGCCCTGCGGGTCCCTAGACTCGAAACCTGGATGCAACCACCGCAAGCATGTAAGCCTTGGGCGAATCCACCCCATGCCCACATCCTTGACCACACCACAGGCTCACAATGATGCTGGACTCCTAGGGTCAGATCCAGCACCACCAATGACCTGCTTATTGCTGGGCAAGTCCCCTCCCTCTATGGGCCCAGGCTTTTTCACCTGGAATATACTGGGAGCGAATCAGTGTCTCTTAAGTCCCTCCTAACTCCATGACTTTGAATTCTGCACTCATGAGAGGGAACCATCAGCCTGCTACCTGCTACCAGCCATAAACTTATGCAAGGGGGGTAAAAGGATGTTGATCACAGGCAGGGCATCAAATAATACCACCACCCTGAAAACGCCTCATCTATGAAAATTTAAATTTCAGAGTGAGCCATGGTTGTCTTAAGTGGCACATGACTGGGATTTAGAAAAACTTAATGTTTTAAAATAGCTCTCTTTGCCCCACTGCCTTTCCCAGGGACAAAGATATTTTGTGGCTGGGCAAAGGTGGGTTGCTGAGGGCTCCAGGGGAAGGGGAGACAGAGCTGACAAGTCGAGAGGCAGGTGCAACAGACAGACACCTGCCAGAAATCTCACTCTGTGTTAATACAGATCTCGAAGTTCTCTTTACCTCTAAATAACGCATAGATACAAGTTATCAAATATCATATGAACTTTTAGGCAATGATGCACTGAATATAACAGACAAATGTGAAAACGGTAGTTGAAAAAAGTCAACGATGGTACAATTAAAGCTAAGTTTGCTCTTGGTCTCTCAATGTAAAAGCAAAAGGACAGCTTTCTCTGTCTCCAAGGCTGGAGTGCAGTGGTACAACCATGGCTCAGTGTAGTAATGACCTCCCATGCTCAAGTGATCCTCCCACCTCAACCTTCCAAACAGTTGGGACAACAGGCATGTGCCACCATGCTGGGTTAATCTTTAATTTTCTCTAGAGAGACAGGGTCTTGCCATGTTGCCCAGGCTGGTCTCAAACTCCTGCCTTGGCCTCCCAAAATGCTGGGCTTACAGGCACGAGCCACTGCGCCTGGTCTGCCTACTTCCTTTTATCTAAACTTTGGTGGTTTTGACAAATTTTGAATCTGTAGACTGTAAATAATCCACCTTGACAATGGTCATATACTAATCAAGAACATAGCATCCATAATTCACTCCACAAAATACTCATATGCTCCCACCCTCTCCACTCACACTTGTGTGCTATCACACAAAAAAGAATGCCACTGTAATTTCCCCACGAGCGTCCTCTACACACGACCAAACACACACACGAGAACGCTTGAAATACCGGATTCAAAAGCCACGTGCATTCAGAACATGCTACTTGGGTTCTACCGCCACGTGAATAAATAATATACCTTCACACCTCTCCTTTTGTTTTCTTTGTGGTCCATCTCCGACTGTAGTTGGCTGCAAACAACTAGTGAGTTTTAAGTATGGAGGTGAAGCACTCCACTGCAAGTTACCCTCTGGGCACACGAGTAACTAGAGGCACTCGGTCCTCTCTGGCATTCACGGCTCTACCCTCTGTAATCGGCTGGCTTCTATTCCCGCCTTGCACCTCCGCACTGCTTCCTTTTTGGAGGCTCACTGACGCTGCCTCCACTCAGAATCCAAAGCTAAACTATTCTTTCTGCTGACTTGGTCTCAGAGGACAAACCTTTTTCTATTTTCTGGGAGCCCTGCTCAACCTTTTAACACCAAGCACCACTCACTCACTCAAACAAGAGCTTGTCGGAGCAAGGTTTTTAAACATGTCACTTTTGCCTCTTAGAGAATATTAGAATATATGTGCCTCTCAGAAAATAATTTCCCTTGGCTAAGATGTGGTTTTTACATTAGGGAAAGGGTCGCTGGAGATGTCCAGAGAAGAGCTGGCCCATCAACCAACACTGTCCAAAAGTGTGAGAGGATCGCAGCTTCAGTTTGAAGAACATACACAGAACACTTCTCAATGTAGAAGTATGTGACGCCTTTCCTCACAAAAGGTGAAATAGTCACGTTCTCCTAATGTGACCTGAAAAGAATAGTCAGGTTTCTGATGGCTCATGGAATAGGTCTCATACAGAAGCCCCACGCATGCACCTCCCGTGGCACCCTGGAGCTTCAGATTTTTAGAAAGAAACAAACAAGCTATTTTAAGAATATCACTTTCACTTCCAGTCCTTTGGAACCTTGCAACCTTTCTTCCTTAACAGCTCCCCTGAGTGAGTAAGAGTCAATTACTTGCTATCACCTTCCTTCACAACACATCTTCAAAGCTTCCTTGGTAAGATACAATCTTTCTTGGTATTTAACATATAGAAACAGCCATAATTTCCACACAGCAGGAAGCTTAATGCTAGGGGGTTCAGTCACTTTAGTTTATAGACTAGTTATGCTACTTGCTCAAACAAAGCATTTAAAAAAATAACACAATGCCCTTGTAAGGCAGAAACATTCGCCTTTCCTCTCTCAGCTGCTACTTCTATCACGCCATGCTGCCCAGGGAAGAAGGCCAGGAGGAAGGCTGGGACAAGCTGGAAAACTGAAGCTGGAATAGGAGCTAGGGATCCACCTTTCTCCAGGTCCTACCCCCACATTCTGTCTGCCCGGCCTCCTGTTTCGGGTGACAGCTCTCATGCCCGTCACTAGTCAACAGCCTCGACTGCTCTGCTACTTGGAGCAGAGAGAAATGGCAGCGCCACACATGCTAACTCAGTGCGTGTTCCAGCGAGGGTGGGTGTTCCCAGCTGACAAGTTCACTCAGAATGAACAGGCTCTTCTTTTGTCTCCATGCTGACTGAGAAAGCCAGACACCAAAATCTGGGAAATGCTATTATGGCTTGTGCAGAGGTATCCAAGAGAAACGGCATGTGCAGTTCCAGACAAAGAGCGCAAACATCTGATGGGACCCAGAGGATGGATTAGGAAGCAGAGACAGTAAGTGACAAGAAGGGAGGCCTGAGTGAAGGAGGTGTCTGTTTTATAAGATGTGATACACAAAGGTGGAGCAGCTGAAGTGCAGAAAAGAGAAGAGCTGGTGGATGGGAACGCATGTGCACGACGCAGGCACCCTTGACTCTTACAGCCAGCTTCTCCTCCATCCCCTTGACAGGACCACTTTCCACAAAGGACTAGGGCCACAGCACACATGCTTCATTTCAGCCTTCTCCACTGTGGTGAAGAAATACCACTCTGAAAATACACTGACTACAAACAATTAGAACCCCCGCCCCCAGCACGCAGCAGCAAACATGAGACTGTCCTTACCGGAAGGTGACTAAGGGGCACGTCCACCTGGCCCAGGAAGTCGTCTCGTGTCTGTTAGGAAGAGAACAAAGAGTTAGTGTTTCCATCTCTTCACCAAGCGTCAGCATTTCCTAAAAATGTTTTATCATGAATAGAGACGAAGGTCCAGGGCCTGGCACTGGAATGTGGAGGGTGGAAGGCCCCGAGGAGACACGAGTAACCACGCCCCAGGAGACCAGGAGCCTGTGCGCCTGGACTGAGCTGGCTGAGATTCTGTTTGGTGTCTGCTACCAAGCAGAATGCTAAGGAAGCCTTTGTAGAAGCCGGGAGAACATGATCAGTCAGGGAAGAGACAGGCAGGGCCACAGAGGGCACAGCTGGGTCCAGCTGAAAGGGAAGATGGCAAAGAAATGCTAGGAACATTTTAACAAGTGTTTACTGATCCAATGCTAAAAACTAAAGAGCTCCTTGAGAGCTGAGAGCCAGCGGAAACAGTGTATGGCCTAGTTATGAATGCATCGTACAAACTGCATCTCACAAAAAAACACACACACTTTTTAAATCCAGTAAGTACACTGCTTTTTGATGTAGTAAGTGCACTGCTTCAGAATCCACGTTTATGGATCAGGTCCTGCTAATTTTTGGACACACCACGCCTCTCCCTCTCCACATCTACCATACTGCACGTCTCTCTCCCGACTTCAAAGAGGCCCAGGTGACAAATCACTTGGAGACACACGCTAGTTCCCTCTCAGGCTCTGGGAGTCATCTGGGAAGTCATGATCCAGCTCCAGGGGTCACTGGCCTGGACCACAGGGTGTCCAACAGACCACAGTCACACTACGTCCCTCAGTTACGGTGCTTGTGGCATGGCCTCTGATGTTCAGATGACCCAAGAAGCAAACTGGGACACAATGACTATTTGCTCCTCTCATATAAAGATATGCAGCTGGTTCCACCACATTCAAAATGCATAAAAGTCTGGCAGTTCTTTAGATGCGATCAGACCAACCCCATAGCTAGCTTGAGCCACCCAAGAAGGAATCCAGCCTACCTCGTGCTGAATCCTGGCCTCTTATTTCTACTCTGCTAGTTTACAGAGAAAGTTTCTAATTCACAGATGCTAATTAGATGCTACTTTTCAAGTGTACTTGAAAAGCATTCTCTTCTTCCATTTAAAAGGAAGCAGCAGGTAAATATGAATGAGATTTATTGAAATGACTCGCTCCAAGCTTAGGAATTCCTTTTAGATAATTGAAAAAATGTGATGAACTGGAAAGCCATCTGTCTCCTCTAAACAATCCATACAGGATAACAAAAAAGTCAAAGTTACCACGGTTTGGGGATGCATGAAGAATGAGACTAGTCCCAATCCTTTTGATGAGATTTTCACTTCTTTTACTTTCTTAGCTGTATCTGCTACAACTCAACATGGAGAGGCCTCATCTAGCATAAAGCGGTAAAGAGAGTGCCCATAGATTCTGTATGTCTTACCAAGAGCAGCAGTCAGCAGAAGGCCTTGAGAATAATGACAGCCTTGCTCTCCAGCTCTCAGACCTAATCACGCTGCCCCAGTGACTCACACCAATGACAGTTACACAAGGAGTTAGGCAGTGTGCCTGTTAGTTCTCTATTTGGCTGATTTCACTTTTTTTTTTTTTTTTTTTTTAGATGGAGTCTCTCGCTCTGTCACCCAGGCTGGAGTGCAGTGGTGCAATCTCAGCTCACTGCAACCTCCGCCTCCTGGGTTCAAGCGATTCTCCTGCCTCAACCTCCTGAGTAATTGGGACTACAGGCATACACCACCACGCCCAGCTAATTTTTGTATGTTTAGCAGAGATGGGGTTTCACCACGTTGGCCAGGCTGGTCTCGAACTCCTGACCTCCAACGATCTGCCTGCCTCGACCTCCCAAAGTGCTAGGATTACAGGCGTGAGTCACCACGCCTGGGCTGATTTTGCTATAATTTTAAAGCTAATATAAATATCAGTAACTGTACTATTAAAAAAAGGAAATTCACTGAATATTGACCATAAATTGTCTGCTTAATGTGAGCAGAGTAGTGTGGCCACTTGCCACCTCTCCTCCTGCTGCTACGGCTGCTAACATGGGAAAGAAAAGACAATCAGCAGAAGGACAAGACAATCTTATTCAAAGCTGTTTCACAACCTGATAGCTTTGAAAGGCTGCCCCTGAACCATTAACCTAAGTGCATTTCAACGAAACTTCACAAAATATCTACATGCCCATGTTGTTTTGCCAGGGAGACATTTGAGTTCTAAACTGATAAAACAGGTTAAAGCTTTGCCCAGACACCAAAAGACAGGCACCCAGTACTAACGGCTGGCAGCTGGTCTTTATACAGTGCTCCCTCTCTGTGGGCTCTGTGCCAATGCTGCGTCTAGTCCTCGCAATAACCTTCAGAGGCAGGTACAATGATTGTGCCCATTTTACAGATGGGAAACCAGAGGTGTGTGGCTGAGGTGCCCATCAGCCTGTGCCCTTAACTGGCACTGCGTGCCGTATGTCAGCAACTGGCAGGAAAGCAAGGCGGTACCAGCTCTGGGCTTCCCACTGGATGCTGGCTTTAAACAGTGTGGATGAGAAGGGAGGGATTCTGATGATGGCACAGTCTGATGAGACTTCAGAGGGTTCTGGTAAAATGCTTATTTGCTATGTTATCTTTACACTACCTCCTACTCCAACTGTTCCTTTCCTCAAATGGAATACAGTTTACCGAATTCCCTGAGGTACTGCAAAGCCAGGAAACTTCACTTATACCTTTTATCACAGGTTCTCATTATGTTAAAAAAATTTTTTTAAAACAGTAAAAGATGAAGCAATTTGCCATTAAAGGAAACAGAAGGCTCTTATTTGTTTACATGAAGAGATGGAAATTATTTTTGAAACAAAATAGGGATCAAGTACAGAAATGCACATGGTCAAAATGAACTGGTTTAAACTAGTGTTTCACCAGTCAATGGAAGATGTAGTTGGTTGAGAGATCTAGGTTTCAAAAGATCCCACTGTTGCCAAAACTACAGAAAGTTCAGGCCATGTAAAATATTTAGGTTAGGGATACTACACCGATTAAAAACAAAAATGGCCAGGCATGATGGCTCGCGCTTGTAATCCCAACACTTTGGAAGGCTGAGACGGGCAGATCACTTGAGGTCAGGAGTTCAAGATCACTCTGGTCAATATGGCGAAATCCTGTCTCTACTAAAAATACAAAATTAGACGGGAGTGGTGGCTAGTGCCTGTTGTCCCAGCTACTTGGGAGGTTGAGGCAGGAGAATCGCTTGAACCTGGGAGGCAGAGGTTGCAGTGAGTTGAAATCCCGTCACTTGCACTCCAGCCTGGGAGACAGGACTCTATCTCAAAAACAAACAAACAAACAAACAAACAAACAAACAAAAATGTCTTCAGCACCGCAGAGGAGATCTAACGGGATCAGAGAACCTCCTGGTGCCTTTATGCCACGGGGAGGAGCAGGCACGCTGAAGGAACACCTCTGTTTGATGTAAGAGGAACTGGGAGGTGTGCTAGTGTGCAGGATTCTGCCTGTGGGCCCTGGAGGGACAACGTTTGAGGCCATCCCAGCACCCTTAGGTCATCACCACCACAGTGCAACATCTCATACCAACATTATAAAAGCATTAATCAAATCAATTTTTCATGATTTCCAATACAAAATTATTTCCATCCAGCATCAAGTTAACTATAATAGCCTACAAAACCAAATTAACTTCAACCCCTATGGTGAACACTGTATTTCTTGTGGTTATTTTTAAGTGGTAAAATGCTGTCAATTTCCAAGCCGTTACTTGCCATACGACTCTCAAGGCTGAAAATGCGCCCTTTAGTAACAAAATAATAAATGCTCCCTTCTAATGAGCCATCAAATATTTTCCCAGTGAAACGACAATGTAGAATGGAGCCCCTGAAACGTGTCCTATCAGGTAAAACAAAAATTCATATTCTGATATTGGAAAAGTTACATACACAAATAAAACACTGTCTCTTTTAGAGCTTGTGCGGTAAATACTGATGAACTACATTCAGGACTGCCGCCCTCCCCTTTAAAAATCACTATTAAGTAAGAAGAAGGGGACAAGTGGGCGCCCTGTTCATGCAGAGGGGTATGCTGCCACTGAGGGTGGATGCCACCAGGACCTGAGGCCCGGGGACTATTATAATCACTCCAGTAGAAGAGATTATAGCCTGTGGGCATTTCCCCAGATGTGAGTGCACACTAGGTCAAAGCTGTCAGCACTGATGTGGACGCCAGGCTTAGATGTCCTCACAAAATACTCAAGACTCAATTTCTCAAAGAACACATCTATTCAAAAAACAAACAAACAAACAAACAAAAAAACCAAAACCACAGGAACTCTTATCCTTAGGGCAGAACTGTACTTGGATGATGTGATTCAAATCTTACTATACACCAATGACCACCTCACCCTATTCCATTCAAGACAGAGGCGGTGGTAGCAGGGTTAGGTGCACAGTGAACTTCACATGGAAGCTCAAAGGGAGAGCATCTGACTGTGCAGAAAGACAAGCATTAAAAGAAGGAAGGGCTACCCACAGGTCACACTGGGGTCCTAAAGACCCCCAGCTGGGAGCCCAGGGGGTTGAGGGTGCAAGGAGCTATGATTGTGCCACCACACTCCAGCTGGGGTAACAGAGCAAAAGAATTGGTGATTCTTGGTAAAATGACCCATGTGTATTCCTGGAGCTATGTACCAAGGTAATATTTTTAAGTTATGAGTTACAATCCCACAAATGGGACACAGGAAGTATTTTTTAAAGTTAAGCATAATATAGAACAGAAAATATCAGTGCCTCACATAAAACACAGGTATGTACTATTTTGAGGAACTCATCTCAGTTATATACATACATAAATGTGTGTACCAAGTTGTGATCTAAGGTTAATTTCTTTTTGTGTGCCATCAAAAGAATTAGAAAGCCACTCAACTACTGAAAATGAAAACCATCCACTATTACCAACTGTCTGGGGTTTCCTTTTTTTTTTTTTTTTTTTTGTTGAGACGGAGTCTCGC